CTGCCATGTATATTGTAATTTTCTCTTGGCTTATATTTTCTTCAAGTACAACCAAATTCAAGATAGTATCAGCCACAGTAAACCACGGTCATAACGAACTCAAAGAGACCACATATTTTAGTTCGTTATAACCGTAGTTCATTATAAGCACATATATAGGATATATGTAGCAAAAGCCCGGGACCTAAGGGCAATACTTTATATCCGTCAGTTCGTTATAAGCGTGTTTGTTATAAAAGTAGTTAATTGTAGTTCCACTGCTTACTTTTCAATGTCCTGCACAGTGATTGTCACATTAGAATCATTGTCCACAAAGGTCCTGAAGCTCGAAGGCAGATGAGTAAACCTATAAACATGTTGAACCAAGCAAGTGGACAATTTCTGTCCGAAAATGCACGGAGTCCCCTTTTAGTATCATACTGTCATTACGGCCTCTAAACGCCCACCTACTTTATAATTACAGCCGTGCGAAAGTTCAAACTGAAAAAGTGACACGTGTGACTCAATGCACCCATGGGGTGACGATAACATTAAGGCCTTATAAGGTAGAGCAGATGTCCAATAAAACAACAAGATTTCTAGAAAAGCCTACACAAAAAAACAAGTCCAAATTTGTTTGTTCTTTTCAAGAATCCAGCGCAATATGAATCTTCAAGGAAGCAGATTCCCTCTCAGATGGCCTCAGACCACAGTTACGTCCCTTAAGTTTTACCATGACCCGGAAGGTAAAGAGGAGAATGTAGTGCTCTGTTCGATGGTTTGTTGAGTCTGGGCCAGATATGTTTTGCTTGACATGAGATTCGACATTGTATTTTCTTGATAATTTGTTTTGATCCCAAATGAGTACATGATATTGACTCCAGCTTTCCATGATTTGACCCCCAGTTTAAAGGTCGATCTGTGTGTTTAGGCTCGATACTTCCACTGACCATTGTTGACAGTGGTTATTTGGAAATCGAGCTGCTGGACCCAGGCTGGTAGTTTGCGGTGTAAGTTGTAAGTGACAGGTTAGTCATGCAACAGAAGAACAGCCTATGAACGATATTAATTAATGTGGGTTGACATGTCACTGCAGATAGCAAAGAAGGAAAATCATTGTGCTTTGAGGCCAGATGAATGTTCAACTCCGGTGGTGGAGTTTTGTTGATGGGTGTGGGCAGGTAAGGCTGGAAGGGGGTCATACATGGGTCATAGATCGTTAGTTGTACCACCACCACCGCATACATGTTCCTGCGGAAATAGTGGTTACATCAGGTATTCGTCTGATGGATTAGTATATCATGTCCACATGTGATGTGGAGAGCTGAGATTTTACGACAATCTATAAAAATATGGTTTGGGCCAGTTACCAAGTTAAATGTGGCCCGGACTTTCACACTCAAACACAGATCCAGTTCCAGACCACAACGCAGACACACACTCTAACACTAACTCACAGTTACACCCTGCTCGTTTGTTTTTTATCCGTACGCCTACTAAGGACGGCTTAGCCAAGACAAAGCTGTGTCTACTTCCGGGTTCATATCATGATAAATATTGATATTATCAGTTCTTTTGAAAATAAGATGAAGTTCGTTTTCATTAAAGCAGTTTGGATATTTTTGGTAATTGTTGCGCTACCTGAACGGCAATTTAAGATTTGCTAGTTACAGAAAAAGAAGAAGTTTGTTTTATTATAGAAGATAATGTGGCTTTGAGATTATAAAAGTAGGAATTCAAACTTTGAAAATATATCTCAAACTTGAACATTTCCCTCTTCACATCAAGTTTCATTATGAAGAAAGGAATAATGACCTTCCCATAACATTTTGCTTTAAAACACGCATTTGACATAGGTTGATAAACCTCCTGGACCCATAGTAATGGCAGCCTACTAGACTCAATACATGCACTCAACGAAATACTGGAGTTCAACATTTGTCATTCATTTATAAATTCTCTCTCCATTCATTTTTTTTCTCACTAATCATCTGTAGCTTGAAATTGCATTGGATGAACAGTTAAATCTATCATGCTTCCCAGCAGTGAGCTAGCCACTGGGTGCCAGGTTAGGTCACAAATACACAGCTTGATTTTTATAATTATGCAGGAAGATATGCATAAAATAGAGAGGCAGGTGACACCGTCCCATGTGATATTACATAATAAAGATTCACTCTTCACGCTCTCAGGGTGTAAAAAGTCGCTTGGAATTTTCTTTTCGAAAATCTTCCAATGAGGGCATTTACATTCAACATCCTGATTTCCTGAACCACAAGTATATAAGGTGTGGTGAATCACAATAGCGACATTCAAATCGTTTATTCTCAAGTGGATAAACGTAACTGGCAGGATGCGCCTTCTTAATGTTGCAGTTGTTGTAGTCTTGGGTACGTTTGCCTTATCTGATGCGAATTCGCATTCCCAAGCTTTCTAATAATCAACTTTATGAGCTATTGCTGAGTTTTAAATGGCTTTACGATAATACTGACAACGTTATGATCAGGATTGTTTCTACCATGATGTAAACATTTATTAAAATTGGTAGACGGATTTTGTATGTATGCATCCTGTCATCTATGACCACTTATGCATTGTTTTTTCTTCACATTCTTTACAGTCTTCCTTGGCTCCGTCCTTGGTGGCCATGGTGGTGGTGGTCATGGAGGTGGAGGCCACGGTGGTGGTCATGGAGGCGGCGGCCATGGAGGAGGTCATGGTGGTGGTCACGGAGGTGGTCATGGAGGTGGTCACGGAGGTGGCAAAGGACACGGAGGAGGTGGCCACGGAGGAGGTGGCAAAGGACACGGAGGAGGCGGCCATGGAGGTGGCGGCCACGGTGGCGGCAAAGGAGGTCATGGCGGAGGACACGGAGGTGGCGGCCATGGAGGAGGTCATGGAGGAGGTCACGGTGGAGGTCATGGAGGAGGCCACGGTGGCGGTCACGGAGGTGGCCATGGAGGTGGTGGTCATGGAGGCGGACACCACGGTTAAACATTCAAGTATCATCATATTCACATCAAATGCTGGACATTTGATATCATGTTTGTCGATTCCACTCGCCATGCTGCATCGACCAAAGCTGTATATTCCTCAACGCGCACAAATAAAACTGCCATGTATATTGTAATTTTCTCTTGGCTTATATTTTCTTCAAGTACAACCAAATTCAAGATAGTATCAGCCACAGTAAACCACGGTCATAACGAACTCAAAGAGACCACATATTTTAGTTCGTTATAACCGTAGTTCATTATAAGCACATATACAGGATATATGTAGCAAAAGTCCGGGACCTAAGGGCAATACTTTATATCCGTCAGTTCGTTATAAGCGTGTTTGTTATAAAAGTAGTTAATTGTAGTTCCACTGCTTACTTTTCAATGTCCTGCACAGTGATTGTCACATTAGAATCATTGTCCACAAAGGTCCTGAAGCTCGAAGGCAGATGAGTAAACCTATAAACATGTTGAACCAAGCAAGTGGACAATTTCTGTCCGAAAATGCACGGAGTCCCCTTTTAGTATCATACTGTCATTACGGCCTCTAAACGCCCACCTACTTTATAATTACAGCCGTGCGAAAGTTCAAACTGAAAAAGTGACACGTGTGACTCAATGCACCCATGGGGTGACGATAACATTAAGGCCTTATAAGGTAGAGCAGATGTCCAATAAAACAACAAGATTTCTAGAAAAGCCCACACAAAAAACAAGTCCAAATTTGTTTGTTCTTTTCAAGAATCCAGCGCAATATGAATCTTCAAGGAAGCAGATTCCCTCTCAGATGGCCTCAGACCACAGTTACGGCCCTTAAGTTTTACCATGATCCGGAAGGTAAAGAGGAGAATGTAGTGCTCTGTTCGATGGTTTGTTGAGTCTGGGCCAGATATGTTTTGCTTGACATGAGATTCGACATTGTATTTTCTTGATAATTTGTTTTGATCCCAAATGAGTACATGATATTGACTCCAGCTTTCCATGATTTGACCCCCAGTTTAAAGGTCGATCTGTGTGTTTAGGCTCGATACTTCCACTGACCATTGTTGACAGTGGTTATTTGGAAATCGAGCTGCTGGACCCAGGCTGGTAGTTTGCGGTGTAAGTTGTAAGTGACAGGTTAGTCATGCAACAGAAGAACAGCCTATGAACGATATTAATTAATGTGGGTTGACATGTCACTGCAGATAGCAAAGAAGGAAAATCATTGTGCTTTGAGGCCAGATGAATGTTCAACTCCGGTGGTGGAGTTTTGTTGGTGGGTGTGGGCAGGTAAGGCTGGAAGGGGGTCATACATGGGACATAATTACAGCCGTGCGAATGTTCAAACTAAAAAAGTGACACATGTGACTCAATGCACCCATGGGGTGATGATAACATTAAGGCCTTATAAGGTAGAGCAGATGTCCAATAATACAACAAGATTTCTAGAAAAAAAATCCACAAAAACAAGTCCAAATCTGTTTGTTCTTTTCAAGAGGCCAGCGCAATATGAATCTTCAAGGAAGCAGATTCCCTCTCAGATGGCCTCAGACACAGTTACGTCCCCTAAGTTTTACCATGACCCGGAAGGTAAATAGGAGAATATAGTACCCTGTTTGTAAGGGTTCTTTACTCTGGGACAGGTATTTTTGTTGTCAGTTGTGATAATTTCTAATAACACAAAATATGTACGTAATATTGGCCGATGGATGTGTAACAGTTCTTCAGAAAACAAGAAAAGGTTTGAGTTTCGTAAACTATAAGAACACACACACACACTCACTCACTCACTCACTCACTCACTCACACTTACACTCACTCACACTTACACTCACACACACACACACACTCACTCACTCACTCACACTTACACTCACACACACAGACACGCGCGTGACAACAGAATTTATTTCAGCATTTATTGACGTATTACGAGCAAGAGATTGAAATGTGTGTGATTGACGAATAGTACCACCAGTACCACCAATGTCAGTTCTGGCATGTATACGTTAGTTTCATGACGGATAAAGAAAAATGAAATCAGTGAATAGGTTTCATTTATTCGGAAAAAAACTCTTAATAATAAGTATGCTGTTGTCAGTGTCCTTTTTCTGTACTTGGGGGAGGCTGTGTCTTTAGTATATGTTTCATTATTGTATCGTTTCGGTCATTGATACTCTCAGATGTTTTATTAGCTTGTCCTCGGGCTCTCATCTGTAATCAAATAGTTTCACATTACTTACTTTCACATAAAACAGTTTCACGTTAGACACACATCACAGTTTCACATAACACTGTTTCAGATATTATGGAACCATGGTGTTTCTGCAGATAATTCTAAAGACAGTTTGTGACGACAAAAACTCAGTTTGCCATCTTAAGTGCGAGTACACGCACAGCTGCTATGAACAATATCGTAACATCAACAGGTTGTTAAGATATCTCCGAATACCCAATACAGTTAATCATTCATTCTTTTTCTGATGAGGTAAATGACGTATTAGAAAAAACATCTATTCTTTGATTGAATCACACAAACAAGGTAGGAATGAGGTGAGGTGAAAAAGGGTTTAAAGTCACGTTCAAGATTATTGCACTTATATAACGACGTGAATGCACGTGTGTTTGTGTGCCTATTCCAGGCAAGATCCGGTTTAGTAGTGCCAGTCCAACGAGGAAACATGCCTGGTTTAAAATCTATACCCTACCCACACACAGCATACTGACTCCGGGCCAAACAATCCTTGTTTGAACTACCTAATGCCGAGTGACAGCAATGATACCAATAAGTATCATCTTTTAATGTCTTCTGGTATAACGCGGCCGGGGACCGAACCACCGATCTTCCGTTCTCAGGACAGGCGCTCTGTCCACAAGAAATCGTCGGCGGTCTGCTAAAAAAGAAGAACTCCCTTACCTTAAGGCGCTGGTTCAGGGGGCCCTAGCAGAATGGGTCGGCAGGTTCTCACGAGCTGATGTGGGGAACGCCTATTTCGGGACAGAACGCGACCTAGAATGGTGGCCAGCTCTTCGCGTTTCATTGGTGTTTGTTCCCTTGGGTTGAGTGCTTCCTCCAGCAGATCGTTTTCTCGGAGAGCTCGGAGGCAGCCTAGCGCCACGATGTCCCGCAGTGTCAGAGGAGCCTGGAGTAGATGGACAACGTGTCAAATGGGTGACTGTGCTGCATATTCTGATGTCAAATTCAAGTCTACGTTTACATACATGCCAAGTGTGGAATTAAGGCATTGTCTTTGTGAACTAAGGATGTCATTAATAGCATGTATAAAAGTGGGTCTGCATACATGCACCATCATCCGCTGCCCCCTGCCTCATCCTCGGTTATCCAGGGTATTATAGCATGATAATTAACCCGGAATCATTTGATACCATAGTTTCGTAATTCGACTGATTCGAATGACACGACGCTAAAATAGGCGTCCAAAAAAACTGCAGTCATGGGCGTGAGAAATTATGTCAGTGGTCGTGCATTTGGATCTCGATAAGTTGCCACATGAATATTGCTGAGTTCGGCGTGTTACAATTGTGGGTGTGGGTGTGCGTGTGCGTGTGCGTGTGCGTGAGAGTGAATATGAATATGAATATGGATGTGTCTGTGACTGCGATTGTGGTAGTGCGTGAGAGTGAGTGTGAGTGTGAGTGTGAATATGACTGTGAGTGCGACTGTGAGTGTGAGTGCGAGCGTGAGTGCGAGTGCGAGCGTGTGTGTGCGAGCGAGTGTGACTGTGAGTATGTATGTGACTGTGAGTGTGGTTGTGAATGTGAGTGTGTGAGTGCGAGTGCGAGTGTGTGAGTGCGAGTGTGAGTGTGTGCGTGTGCGTGTGCGTGAGTGTGAGTGTAAATGTGAGTGTATCTGTGCCTGGAGATTCTGGTTGTCCGTGAGAGTGAGTGAGTGTGGGAGTGAGTGGGAGTGTGAGTGTGTGCGTGAGTGTGAGTGTAAATGTGAGTGTATCTGTGCCTGTGATTGTGGTTGTCCGTGAGAGTGAGTGAGTGTGGGAGTGAGTGGGAGTGTGAGTGTGTTCGTGAGTGTGAGTGTAAATTTTAGTGTGAGTGTGTCTGTGTCTGTGATTGTGGTTGTGCGTGAGAGTGAGAGCTAGAGTGGGAGTGAGTGGGAGTCTGTGCGTTAGTGTGAGTGTTAATATGAGTGTGGTAGTGGTTGTGGCTGGGCGTGAGTCGGCATCGAATCAACCATATAGCAACAAATTAAACAGTGTAAAAATGAAAGTATGTTTGTGGATGAATATGTCAAGCGAAACACTGTTGCCTACCGACAAGTCTTCCAGTAGTCCTCCAAATGGTGGCGGCGGTGGTGCCATTTCACTTCCGCCCATGACAAAGGCCACGCCCACCACACACAGCAACACGACACACTGCCCTCTCATTTTGATGCTGTCAACAGAGAAATATTAATATATAGATTTTTATACAATTTGTGCTCAAACATAGTGTCCTCTCATTGTGGTACTGGTCACACAGAAAGAATATATTCGGCCCATGCCGTGTCGGGTTGTCTTGGCACACAACGGTGAGGAATTACTAATTAACTATGTTTAAATATTTGTAGAATCCACAAATGCTTAGAAAATAGTAATACTATGTATATGTTGTGATGCAACCTTTATGTGTATGGTACCTTTAACGATAGTCATGTTAAAGTAATCAGATAAACCGTTCATGAGAAAAACTAAGAAACTGATAAACATAATTATATATATATATATCATGTTAGAGAACATACAGGTAACTGTCCCGCGAACTGACTGTCAAATGTATGTTCTCCTCAACGGAGACGTCAAAACTTTCGGGAAACTTTGTTATATTTCTACGAGAATTATCAGACATGTTTAAATGTTTGACAACAGCCTTTTTTCTATCGTACACTTGTTTACTTCCGGCATGTTCAAGGACACAACAATGGCTACCGTGAGAAAAAACAAAACGTCAGGAGAGAACTAAGAGCAAGTCAGCGACATGAGCTGAGTTTTTACCATATATTTAGAATATAACCAATATTAAAAAACTGCTGCCTGAAAAACTTCTAAAACCAACCTTTTCGATACAATTGGCCTTAAAAATCAATAAGTGTTGTCATTAAAACAAAACATGGTTATATTTCTCATTTATTTGAACATATCCCGTATCGTTGACACCAGCATCAAAAGCTATGTAAATAAATGTGCCAGCAGAGGAATTTATGTCCGACAGATTTGTGATCGGGTTGCTCAGAGGCGCCAGGCAGTGGTATTAATATCAGAATGAACTTGAAGAGAAGCACACTTTTAGCCCATATTATAATACAGATAGTATCACAGTCGAATTATGTACTTACATCTGTGTTCCGTGGTTCTATCGGGGTCTTTCCAGCTGCACAAGGTGATATGGTAAGAGCTGGTACTAAAGGGGTATATATACCCCTCACTGCAATAACATTGATTTGTGCTCTCTCATGCTGAAGGGTGTTTCAATCGTAACTGATAATGGAAAGCCGCGGGGTGGGATTGGTCGAAGACTGGTGCTAGGTGGATTACGGGTAGTGAGTGGTCAGACCTTTGTCTGCGGATGGCGATTAAAGTGGCCAGGGTCACAATGGATGGCCGGAGTATTGAACCCGGGAAGAGATTCAAGATTCATCATGTTTGTTGTGGACTGTGTACCCGATGGACCATGGCTGTTCATTGATTTGTAATAATAATAATAATAATAATAATAATAATAATAATAATAATAATAATAATAATGATGATGATGATGATGATGATGATGATGATGATAATAATATAATAATGATCATGATGACAGCCCAAGGTCAAACATTTCACTACGGACAAAACGAACTCAAACGGCCTTACATTGTTTTAGCTATACTCGAGGTGAGGTGAAATTGGGTTAACTTTAATGTCGCGTTCAAAGTTCTTTCACTTACAAACGGACATGCGCCCATGTGTGTGAGTGTGGCTGCTCGTACTGGTCCAGACTTGGGCTGGATTCACACTACGGCCGTTCATTTACATACAAGATGCGAGATCGTATACGATGAAGAGAAATGTTTCAGCAGATACATTAACGATTACATGCATATGTTGAAGCATTGTTGGTACTTCGGGTAATGAGTAATGAGTGGTGTGTACTATATATATTTTATTTTAAGATAATAAATATGGTAGTATAGAATAACAAAAATGATAAATATAGATGCATCACCTTATGCATAAACCAATGGTCGTTGTGTCCAGCATATGTCACAGTGTAACAGAACATATGAACATACGTGCCAAATATGACGTCAATGCGTTGCTTTAGAAATAGGTGCATCTCCTATTTTCAACGCATCGGAACGCAACGCATTTAAAATTCGATTTCAGTGTGTTTAGTAATGTTAGAAAAACATGATGTTCGGGTTTTTTGTATATGCAACGCATGAAGTAACGTATACAACCAGTCGTAGTCAGCAGTAGTCCAGCTGTATGACGACGGTCTGTAAATAATCGAGGATGGACCAAACAATCTCGTGATTGACATCATGAGCATCAATGTACGCAATTGGGATATGAAGAGATGCAAGTCAGTTAGCAAGCACGGGTTGCCGTATGCCAGTTCTGACTCGGATCTTCACGGTCCGCATACAACAAGGGACGTTGTGTGAATCCAGCTTGAGTTGATAAAAGTTGGAAAAATAGGTTTTACTAAGCGTGACATGTACAGCATGACATGGTGTGAGTGACTGAATGTTGTTTTGCGTCACACTCAGCAATGTTCCACCCATATCACGGTGGCCTGTAATCGAATCTGGACCAGACCAACCAGTGATTAGAAGCATGTGCAGGAATGTAAACGATGTTAGTGAAAGCTCATGTGATACCGATGTTCCTGCCGTCCCACGGCGTCTTGAAAATGGTCTAAAAGGGGCAGTAACAATTTAATAGCCAATTCAAGAACAATATACCAACTATCATTTCTTAAATTTCTTAAATTACGTCTTGCCTACAACATAATTGGGTTTTATTAATAAATTATTTGTAAATATGTAGTACCAAATCTAACTTAATCTCATTAATTGTCCTTTCCATGACTATAGCACGACACTGGCAGCTTCAGAAATTTCAACAAACATCAGAAAGTTCCACGCTGGGCATCAAAGCATAAATGTAATATTTCCACGCAGTTAACTCCCAAAGTGTATGTTCGCAGAATAGTTTTAATGTGTCATGGAAATAGTACTACTTCAGAGAGAGATGGCTTCAAAACGAATCGGCGTTTTAAAACACACCTTAAATCTAACGTCGCTACACTGTCAAGGACAACAAAGCCACGTGTCAACAACCAGGCATGTTTAAGCTTGTTGATCCCCTGCAGTAACTCCGTCATCATCAAACGAAGCGAGAGAGTGTGACAATTACAAGGAATAGTCTGTTTATCTTCACGTTGTTTACACGCGGGCAATCATGCGACAGAGGGGCTTCAGTGCCAGAAGAAATGTGTTGACGTCGGCACTTTCTTGATGAACTCGAGCTCTTGAACCTGGCGAAGTTGTAAACAAAATATTTGTCTTTGTTATTCAGACATATTGGTTGTTTTGCTGTTTTGTAGGTATTCTGCATGGTTCGATACAGCTGACTGGTCATGTGGAAATAGTCCGACCCAACTTGATCTGCGAGCTGGACTTTAACCCTCTTACACCTGGACGTTGTTAAAAAATTATGCACCACATCCTATATTTCCAGACCGCCTCCGTGGTCTAGTGGTAGAGCGTCCGCCCGGAGAGCGGAAGGTCCGGGGTTCGATCCCCGGGCGCGTCATACCGAAAGACGTTAAAATATGGTACTTGTTGTTACCCTGTCTTGTTCTCGGCATTAAAGGGCTAAAAAAAGGACTGGTCAGTATACTGTGTCTGAGTGGGGTATTCATGTTAAACTGCGGCATGGCATCTCAGTGTGCAAGCACTATAAATCGGCATCAGTCCGGACTAGTACAAGCAGCCACACACACACGTGCATGCACGTCGCTATATAAGTGCAATAATCTTGGACGCGACGTTAAACCGAATTTCACCTCACCTCACCTCATATATTTCCATATTAAATAACAGAACATATTAGTATTTATTTGCAAAGTGACATGCTCATATTTAAATACAGAAACCGAAATCGATCGATTTGTAACTATTCCATGGCACTAGTTATTATACAATCTTTAGATTTGTTTCCTTCTGAATATTCCAACTATTCATCAGATATCCATGGTATCTCATACCCCGTTCACATTGACTTTATACTGTTTATGTTTCCATAAGTGCATACCAGGAGTAAATTTGCACCATGTCTGGAGCACGAACAAATGTAAGAAGTGAGGTGAGGTGAAATTGGGTTTAACGTCGAGTCCAAGATTATTGTACTTATATAGCGATATTTCCGAAAACCCAATACAGCTAATCATTCATTCTTTTTATGATGAGGTAAATGCCGTATTAAACAAAACATCTATTCTTTGATTGAATCAAACAAACAAGGTAGGAATGAGGTGAGGTGAAAAAGGGTTTAAAGTCACGTTCAAGATTATTGCACTTATATAGCGACGTGCATGCACGTGTGTGTGTGGCTGCTTGGACTAGTCCGGACTGATGCCGATTTATTGCGCTAGCACACTGAGATACCATGCCGCAGTTTAACATGAATACCTCTAGGGGACTGAACCCCGGACATTCCGCTCTCCGGTCGGACGCTCTACCACTAGACCACGGAGGCGATCTGCAAATGTAAGAGCTGGGCGGACAGTGTTTTGTTTGGGTTTGAAGGAGTAAAAGATTTGTGAACAGACTAACACGCATCTAAATTGTTTCTCTATGTTGATTCTAGATGTTTCTTCCCAATCACCTTTTCCTTTGAAAGACCAATCAGACCAAAGATGCACACAGTTCGTTAGGAAAAGCTCTTCTCATGCGTATTTGATTGGAAAACAACCTTTATGGGATACGATGACATGCATCAACCAAGTCAGCGAGCCTGACCACCCGATCCCGTTAGTTGCCTCTTATGACAAGCATAGTCGCCTTTTAGGGCAAGCATGGGTTGCTGAAGACCTATTCTTCCCGGGATCGTCAATGGTCAGAGGAAGAGGGGGGGGGGGGGGGGGGGCCTTACAGGTATGGAGTGATCTGCCACTAAAGTGCCCATTTCCAGCACAATGCTATTGACATGTATTGTTGTTTCCAAGGTCAAGTGTCAACGACAGGTGAGCCTCCAGTCATAAACATGTCCTCACTACATAGTCTTACGCATATCCAGTGGGGAGGTGCAGGACTGCGTGAAACGTAAATTGTTTTACGAATTCAGTGCCAGAATGTTTGTATCTCACCCCTTTCCTAAAAAGCACCACACACGCACGCACGCACGCGCATACACAAACATTAAAAAAACCATCTGTATTTGCGCTTGTTATTTACATATAATGTAGTTTCTTCTCTCATAAATACTACGAATGTATACTTGAAAATTAACAGCATAAATAAAGTATCACACGTATACACTTTGAGGTAAAAGGATGCGTGTCGTACAGCCCAGTATAGTGTTGCATGTGCACGCTTGAACGCAAATGCAGATTTGTACATTAGTTTATGCAACTTATATTTTGTTGTTGATATTATTGCACTTATATATAGCGACTTGCGTGCGTGCGTGTGAGTGTGTGAGTGGTTACTTGTACTATTCCGGACTTATGCCGATTTTATAGTGCTAGCCTACTGAGGTGAGGTGAGGTGAGGTGAGGTGAAATTGGGTTTAACGTCGCGTCCAAGATTATTGCACTTATATAGCGACGTGCATGCACGTGTATGTGTGTGTGTGGCTGCTTGTACTAGTCTGGACTGATGCCGATTTATAGTGCTAGCTCACTGAGATACCATGCCACAGTTTAACATGAATACCCCACTCAGACACAGTATACTGACTCCGAGCCGACCAGTCCTTGAAATTAAGTGGATAAGACGAGGACTTATCGTCTTGGAGTCAGTATATTGTGTCAGGGTAGGGTATCCATGTCAAAATAGCCACTTGGTATCTCAGTTGGCTAGCACTAACAACAAGTACAATCTTTTAACGTCTTTTTGTATGACGCGGCCCGGGATCGAACCCTGGACCTTCCACTCTCCGGGCGGACGCTCTACCACAAGACCACGGAGGCGGTCTCTAGCCTACTGAGATACCAAGCCGCAGTTTAACATGAATGTCCCACTCAGACACAGTACACTGACTCCGAGGCGACCAGTCTTTGTTTTAGCACCATAATGCCGTGTGCCAGACAGGGTAACAATAAGAACCATCTTTTAACGTCTCTTGGTATGATACGGCAGGGATCGAACCGTGGACCTTCCGCTCTCTGGGTAGATGCTTTATCCAGTAAGCCGTGGCAGTGTCACAAACAATGAGAAGGACAATCATTCGTTTAGACTTCAGATAAAAGTAGTGAAACTAAAATGGTAGAATACCTAGCAAATGACATAATTGATATTTTGTTATTAATTCCAGGACAAAGTTTATTTCATCGTCTTCATCAATTACTTCATCAATTCTTTCTGCCTGACTGCTCCAAAAACAAGAAATGCCATCAGAGGTCATCCCATTTAATGTATAGAGCATCGGTTTTCTAGTGCTAGCCAACTGAGATACCAAGTGGCTATTTTGACATGGATACCCTACCCTGACACAATATACTGACTCCAAGACGATAAGTCCTCGTCTTATCCACTTAATTTCAAGGGGGGGAGCACAGTAACAATAAGTACCATCTTTTAACACTACACAACCTGGATTGCACCACGGACCTTTCCCTCTCCAGACAGGTGCTTTATCCACTGGACCACTGAGACAGTCATTAAGATCATGAGTCAAGTCATGGTGCTCCATTTGAACTGCTATATGCATTGGGGGTTCACATCTAATGTGAGTTCTTCACTCACTTTCAAATAGTTAATGATATTTAGTATTTTACAGTGGCAAAAATAGGCATAATTGTTTTGCTAGAGACCATATACCGATTATCAGATCACTGTTTATCAACTCAAATTTAACTTATCAGGCAGACAATCAACTTCACAACATAGTTGATATGTCTTTTTATAATCACATCTTTAGAGTACACACTGATTGCACTTTGTAAATTGTACATCAAGGCTTTGTATGGACTGAGCTTAAGCTTGAACCACTTGGCTGCCAGGTCACTACATCGCCATGGCAACTGCACAAAATAGCAAAACAAGGGGATGATGAGAATTATTTATTTATTTATCTGAAAATCTTAAAAAGGAAATTCTTTGGAAAATGCATACAAATAACAAAATACATACAAAAGCCCCGTCCATAACCAATGAGGTGTACAAGGAAGTAAAGTATACAACAAAAATGAACATATCTCTTTACAAAACTGTTAACAGGAAAACTGGACGGAAATTACAAAACTTAAAAACATGGTCCCCAATGCCAAACAATACACGCATGGAATTAACAACATCGTCAATACTTCACAGGCTTATACACATTCCTCCATCCCCATCCCATGAAGCATTGATGATGATGATCAAGCAGATCACAGATATGATGTTGCGGAGCTCACATGTAAAAGCAAGCTGTCTGTTGCAAGCATCTCAGCAAGCCACAGTTTATACCGTATTTAAGAAACATATTGAAACATTTGAAACATTAATCAATATACAAGACATTCATTAAAGATTGTATCAAGATTTGACACAGAAATATAATAAACTATCAATAGGTACATAACAAAAACAACATTAAGATAACAAAACAATAATTACCATGGCAACAATTTTCTATTTTACAGTTTAGAGATTTATGGCTGGTCAAATAAAGAACGCAATAAATTTCATTTCTTTTATTATATCTGAACATTATTTTGTTTCAATTTATGTTGTGATATTTGTGAGACAAAATTAATAACAACTTATGTTAAACTAAATAACTTCACATGAAACATATTTACTTTTCTCTTTGTAATTGTTTTCTGAACCTTATCCATTCACGTCTCAAACTCTCAACAGTTCCTCTTGTACCTTTGTTTCTCTTTCAATTTATTTGAAATTGGAGAAGTAGGCAAATAAACAAGAAATAAATATCTCCCTATGGGTAGACAATGGAAAAGGAATAAAATAATATAATAATAGTGCCTATATAAACATGACATAAAGATGTTGATCTGGTAACTGCAAATATACAAAATATCGCCCAAATATCACTGCCCTATCACAAGAGCTGTCTCTACTCCAGAGACAAGATTTAAGAGACTGTTGCCCCATGCATACAAGTATATGCTCTTGTAACTACTTGGAGAAACTCTCAGATATACATGCCCCTCATTGATCAACAATTTCTTCATATTCTCCACAATTCTAAACTACTATCGTAAAAAGTTACCATATTACAACTATTTCTTGCCGAAAAATATATATCCAATATCCATACCTGCAACTACATGTTCAATAACTACAACCACAACATCGTTGCAACAACTCTTATTGAGGTACCAGTGGAATGAAATATTGTCAGGCCCTCATTGGCCCTAAAACTTACAGACAATTTGGGGGGAATGCCAGTAAATGTCAAAAGGAACATTACTTCATCTCTCGAAATTCTTCCATGTGGTTAATTCCATTGGATCTGGTTAGTATTGAGGTGGTTTCCAAGACTAACATTGAGTTCGAGAAATAGTTATCTCACTTAAAACATAAATCCACAAAATATAAGGGAGAATCCAAATGGAGCCCATTTCAATGCTTTATTTCAGAGCACAGGTAATGCATACTTGCCAATGATTCATCGGGGTGAATGCTGCGCTAAACAAATGCATAAATTATTATTATAATAATATTATTAAATTATTATTATTATTATTATTATTATTATTATAGACCTGAGTTGGGTTCAGTTTTAACTTATTCTCTTGAGTCTAGTAGACAGTGGCTTCCCTTTTCTCTGTTTACTTTATTTCACTTGTTTGGTGTGTGTGCATTTGTGAGTAAGATTCTTAATAATCTAAATTTGACAATGATTTGAATGACCCCATGTTCTCTGCAATGGGTTTCCTCTGGCAGCAACAGTCCCCTGCTTCAATGTCTTTGATTAAATGCATCAGTGTGATTAGAATAAATACTGATTGTCTGAAAAGGAATAAAATAATATAATAATAGTGCCTATATAAACATGACATAAAGATACAGAAAATTGCTGAATAAATTACATAAGATTTGAATATCAATGATGAGGTTGGGGGAAAAGGTATTGCATTAATTGATGAATAAAACACTTGGGCTTACCCAAATAAAAACACAGAGTTACAAGCATGTGTCCGATCAGAGTTTTTCTCTCATCCTTGACAACAAAAGCATGTTTTTGAACCACCAAGTCAGACTAACGTTATTTCTTGCTTTGTTTATTTTCTTGCTGACTGTGCCCAGCTACGATAGGCAAAGTAGAAAACTAACAGGGTTAGTTTTATGATGTTCACTTGAACTTACCCATAGAAACAAAGCTTCAAAATTGTGTGAAAAACATCCACAAGTGAATAAACATTTTAAGTCATAGGTAGAAATACTAATACAAGGAGGAAATACTAATATAAGGAGGTAAACAGTGTAAATTAGCATTATTTCTCACAAAGCAACCAATGAATATATACACTTAAAATGCACTCAAATGTTTGTTTGTTGTTTAAAGCTGAACTCAGCAACATTCTCCTATGTGAGGGCAGCTTGTTGATAATCAAGTCTGGACTAAATAATCCAGTGACTGATATTGTGAACATCGATCCACATCATCAGGATATAATGACATGCAATCAACCAAGTCACTCAGCCAAGTTGGTTGCCAGCCTTTTCAGCAGATTGTGGACATAACTTAATGGGAGTTGTTCTTGATCCATACTGATTAATTAATCTTAATACCGAGATTCATAAAATTAAGATATGCATTGCGAAAGGTATTCATATGCAGTCAAAAGACCGGAAAGTTTCCAGGCTCCAATACCATTTAACATTGGTCAAGTACTAGGATTTCAGCTCACACTCATTTACAATAGGTATTAGACAATAAGATAAGATATATCCTAATTAGGTGCTTGAAACACAAGCTGAGTACTTCATAAACATCGAAGCATGTGGGAAAGTGTAGGGAAATAAACCAGGACTGTGACGTGTGCTACACAATCCTCCCTCCTTAACCAACTGGGCCCAGAGAGCCATCATACACACACACTGGTTGTTAAGATTTGTCTACAGCAGCAACCCTGATGTATATATTCATCCACAAGATACATGAGATACACTTTCCCCTCTTCACTATGTATATACTTTTTTTCTGCTCGTAAAGATGTTATTTATTTGTTCGATCCTGGTCAAGTATGAAACAAACAAGGTTATTGTAAAAAACACAGCGCTTAAATAATCTCATTAAAATCAGGCCTTAGACTCTGACATGGTACTCTCTGTGTCAAGATCTGAGGGCAATCCATTGAAGGTCACATCTGGCGAACTTTGACTGTCTTATCTAAATGAGCCAAGCAGATGTCGGCTTTCTAAAAAATATTTGGCTTCATTTCATTTAGGACATCAATTCGGAAACTTCAATCTGCCACAAAAATCGCACCATTTTGGGTGCAGATGACATTGCACTCAGAAACAACAGGGTTGTATTCAAAACAGATTCAGGACTACAACAGCAGAGGGACTGTCAACCCAGGCTGATGTCTGTGACTTCTCTCGTCACTTGTTCTTTATCACAGCATTTGATAACATCACAGTCTTGCCACATAATCTAAACAACAAAAACAAAACATGGCGCTGACGCTATCAACGCCTGTGCAGATTGCAGACGAAGAGTAACAAGAAATATATTAAAATCATAACAGCGACTTCACAGCACAGCGGAGCGTGCTCCAAGACCAGACATTCCCATCAACAGACCAGTGTGATCTAAAATCACATTCTCAGATCCCTAGGGAGTATCATGAGACTAATATTACTTTGAACATATACTACCCAAACCAAGGTGAGGACCTCCCAGTTCTTTCATATGACTGTAGAGAATCTGTCATGAAAGAATTGGGCGGTCCTAAACTTCTTTTGAGTGGTATGTAAATCAGCGACCTCTGACACAGGGATACATGACTGCCAGGTGATGGCTTGCATATATATTTGTCTATTATGTCTGTGATTATGTTACAAGTTTCAATTTTTAGGAATGTGACGCTATGATTTGAATTTCTTTAATACTGCCACACTAATATACTGTTTTGTAATGATTTTTAGGAAACAAACGTTATAATAAAACATATAAATATGTACCATATGACAACTCCCTGTACCATTACATCCGTACAAGCCAACATGAATGTATCCCTTCATCAACATAAGTCTAATACACCCTTAACATATCGGTCCTAAACTCCCCTTCCCCCCACCCCACCAAGGTCATTGCACCTGATTCATTCTGATAACATTTTCCCGTCACGTGTAATCCAAAAGAACTACAATCTAATCCCCAACAACAACTACCTAATTAATCCCTGACCACTCACAGAGCAGCTGTAATCCACAACCTCAAACCAAATGCTTGATTACAACACAACCCACTTGTAACATTCTACCCACAACTCATGCTAAACCCTAAGAAGACTACCCTTATCCTCCTCTGACTCAACAATTAATCCCTAAACAGCAGCAAAAATACTTAATCCTTAAAACAACTTCCCTATCCATCCATTATCCATCTATAACCCTATCCAAGGACCAGTGTTCGAAATAAGCGGCTGCCAGCAGGCCCATGACAGCAAAGAGTCTGGCCCGTAGTTTCACACTTGTATGGGTTACATGTTGATATGTTTGTCACAATAAGCTGCATTTTTTTAAATGAGGGTCAGAAGAGTTTAGTCAGGGCCTGCAAAAGTCTATGGGTCCTGATGGCAGCCTGGCATCTTCTATATTTCAAACACTGCCTAGGAATACATCTTTAATCCTTGTAACTCCCTCCCCACACATTCCTCTACCCCCTTAAACCGACCACCCCATACACCCCAAGTCTCTCCCAGTATTTACCACCATATATATCAGACACTCGACTCCCTACTCTACAACACCCTCACTCCGACATTAGGATGCTTTGCACTCGACACCCAGTCTAGGACTCGACACCCAGTCTAGGACACGACACAGGTTCGAGGGCTCTCCTTCTCCTCCTCTGGCTCGGAGTCGTCGTCAGACTTGAGGCGGGGGATGCCATCTAGGACCCGCAGATGGGGCAGGATCTTAAACACTCTGCAGAAAAGGGATCATCATCATCAAGACCTCATAATGAAAATTACATTAAACATAACTAACAGAGATCTCATACGGGGCATTACAAAAAAACATCATGGCCGAAAAAGAGATTTAAGATCCTGATTCTGTGAGAATATTCATTCTTGGGATCATCATTCATCAAGGAGAATATAAAAATGTGATTCACTAGGTTTATAGGGAAAAAACCCTCAAAATTCAAAGAAGAGCCCCAAATATATAATTTAACATAAAATGATAGATGCATAAACTGCTACATGAAAGGTGAGTGAGTGAGTGAGTTGGGTTTAACGCCACTTTTAACATTATTCCAGTTATATCGCGGTGTGTCAGTTTAATGTGGGAGGAAGGCCCAAAGTGATGCAGGTCTAAGACGTTTACCACATCGGTGAAACCCACGAGCACGGGTATGGTGCTGACAAACCTAGAAACATAATCACACACAACTGGGATTCGAACCCACAATCATAGGTTTCTGGCGTGCCCAAGGGACGCAACTCTACACAGCGAATCCCAGACGACTGGGCCACCCGTGCCCCCGCTACATGAAAGGCAAAAGGACAATTTTAAAACAGTTGCTATAGCTGCCATGTCAAAGCTGGATTGGATTTTGGTGAAAACAGTTTAGTGACACCATTTCTGGAATATTACTTTCCAATATTTTTGCTTTATAACAGATGTTGAAACTTTAAATGTTTACAACAGACTGGACACACAGTGGACAGTGCATCCACTGGTTCCAGAAGCCTCTTCTAATTATTTGTTGTTTTTAATCGCCAAACAATCTGCAAATTTAACAAACTACTTCATCAATATCCTCCCGCCAAATGTAAACCCACCTATGTCTGTAGCCGGATATAAATGTGACTGGGTTGCCGGAGAGGTAGAGCTCCTCCAGGTTGGATGAGCGGAGTTTCTTCAGCCCCTGCAAGTCCTCGATGTTGTTATCTACAACCAACAGGTGCTTGATCCGCGGGATGGACGGCAGGTTCTACAACACATGTTGACTTTATCATTCTATTGATGGACGGCAGGTTCTACAACACATGTTGACTTTATCATTCTATTGATGGACGGCAGTTTCTACAACACATTGACTTTATCATTCTACTGATGGACGGCAGGTTCTACAACACATTGACTTTATCATTCTATTGATGGACAGCAGGTTCTACAACACATTGACTTTATCATTCTATTGATGGATGGCAGGTTCTACAACACATGTTGACTTTATCATTCTACTGATGGACGGCAGGTTCTACAACCGCACTAACTCTTGACTAATCTCTTAATTTCTAAAGTCAATATCAAAACGAGGTTTAATAAATGTATCTTTTCTTTCTATTTTTTCAAGTGAAATTTGTACGTTTACAAAATAACACATTCCACAATCCTGTCTCCAGAGAAAATCTACAAATTATTAAGACTGAAAGTTCACATTATGAACAGCAAGAATCCACTGTTTCATATTTACAAATTACAGTTAGGCTACAAACGCCAACTAGGTTACAAAATTTGTTTACAATCACGTTCTTTTAGTGCAAAAAAAATGATGGTGAAGTCTGTCTCCAAAAAGATCCAAGTTGTATTTCCCTAAAGGGAGATAACCTAGTAGTGCCATGGTATTCATTCCATAACCAGGTGTAACAATATTGTTATTTTCTTGAAGCAATGTTCACTTTTACACATTACTTGTATTCTCCATCCTTTTTCAACTCTTTGTAACACTGTCCTAAGCCTCAAAATCTATTCTTTATTTATGTATGAAACATATGTTTCAGCAACAAATAGAAACTGTACAGGAGACAGGTGATACGTGATATATGTATTATACATATATCACGTATCACCTGTCTCCTGTACAGTTGCTGCAGGTTGCTAATGTATACATAATGTATACATTAGCACCCTGCAGCAACTGTACAGGAGACAGGTGATAGGTGATATATGTATACATTAGCAACCTGCAACAACTGTACAGGGGACAGGTGATACGTGATAGGTGACATATGTATACATTAGCACCCTGCAGCAACTGTACAGGAGACAGGTGATAGGTGATATATGTATATATTAGCAACCTGCAACAACTGTACAGGAGACACGTGATACGTGATAGGTGACATATGTATACATTAGCAACCTGCAACAACTGTACAGGAGACAGGTGATAGGTGATATCTGTATACATTAGCAACCTGCAGCAACTGTACAGGGTACAGGTGATAGGTGATATATGTATACATTAGCAACCTGCAGCAACTGTACAGGAGACAGGTGATAGGGGACATATGTATACATTAGCAACCTGCAGCAACTGTACAGGAGACAGGTGATAGGTGATATATGTATACATTAGCAACCTGCAGCAACTGTACAGGAGACAGGTGATAGGTGATATATGTATACATTAGCAACCTGCAGCAACTGTACAGGAGACAGGTGATAGGTGATATATGTATACATTAGCAACGTGCAGCAACTGTACAGGAGACAGGTGATAGGTGATATATGTATACATTAGCAACCTGCAACAACTGTACAGGAGACAGGTGATAGGTGATATATGTATACATTAGCAACCTGCAGCAACTGTACAGGAGACAGGTGATAGGTGATCTATGTATACATTAGCAACTGTACAGGAGACAGGAGATATGTGATATATGTATACATTAGCAACTTGCAGCAACTGTACAGGAGACAGGTGAAAGGTGATATATGTATACATTAGCAACCCACAGCAACTGTACAGGAGACAGGTGATAGGTGATATATGTATACATTAGCAACCTGCAGCAACTGTACAGGAGACAGGTGATAGGTGATAGGGGACATATGTATACATTAGCAACCTGCAGCAACTGTACAGGAGACAGGTGATACGTGATATATGTATACATTAGCAACCTGCAGCAACTGTACAGGAGACAGGTGATAGGTGATATATGTATACATTAGCAACCTGCAGCAACTGTACAGTAGACAGGTGATACGTGATATATGTATACATTAGCAACTGTACAGGAGACAGGAGATATGTGATATATGTATACATTAGCAACTTGCAGCAACTGTACAGGAGACAGGTGAAAGGTGATATATGTATACATTAGCAACCTGCAGCAACTGTACAGGAGACAGGTGATAGGTGATCTATGTATACATTAGCAACTGTACAGGAGACAGGAGATATGTGATATATGTATACATTAGCAACTTGCAGCAACTGTACAGGAGACAGGTGAAAGGTGATATATGTATACATTAGCAACCCACAGCAACTGTACAGGAGACAGGTGATAGGTGATATATGTATACATTAGCAACCTGCAGCAACAGTACAGGAGACAGGTGATAGGTGATAGGGGACATATGTATACATTAGCAACCTGCAGCAACTGTACAGGAGACAGGTGATAGGTGATATATGTATACATTAGCAACCTGCAGCAACTGTACAGGAGACAGGTGATAGGTGATATATGTATACATTAGCAACCTGCAGCAACTGTACAGGAGACAGGTGATAGGTAATATATGTATACATTAGCAACCTGCAGCAACTGTACAGGAGACAGGTAATACGTGATATAAGTATACATTAGCAACGTGCAGCAACTGTACAGGAGACAGGTGATATGTGACATATGTATACATTAGCAACCTGCAGCAACTGTACAGGAGACAGATGATAGGTGATATATGTATACATTAGCAACCTGCAACAACTGTACAGGAGACAGGTGATAGGTGATATATGTATACATTAGCAACCTGCAACAACTGTACAGGAGACAGGTGATAGATGATATATGTATACATTAGCAACCTGCAGCAACTGTACAGGGGACAGGTGATAGGTGACATATGTATACATTAGCAACCTGCAGCAACTGTACAGGAGACAGGTGATATGTGATATATGTATACATTAGCAACCTACAGCAACTGTACAGGAGACAGGTGATAGGTGATATATGTATACATTAGCAACCCACAGCAACTGTACAGGAGACAGGTGATAGGTGATAGGTGACATATGTATACATTAGCAACCTGCAGCAACTGTACAGGAGACAGGTGATAGGTGATACGTGACATGTATACATTAGCAACCTGCAGCAACTGTACAGGAGACAGGTGATAGGTGATATATGTATACATTAGCAACCTGCAGCAACTGTACAGGAGACAAGTGATAGGTGACATATGTATACATTAGCAACCTGCAGCAACTGTACAGGAGACACGTGATACGTGATATATGTATACATTAGCAACCTGCAGCAACTGTACAGGAGACAGGAGATATGTGACATATGTATACATTAGCAACCTGCAGCAACTGTACAGGAGACAGGAGATATGTGATATAGAAATACATTAGCAACCTGCAACAACTGTACAGAAGACAGGTGATACATGATATATGTATACATTAGGAACCTGCAACAACTGTACAGGAGACAGGAGATATGTGACATATGTATACATTAGCAACCTGCAGCAACTGTACAGGAGACAGGAGATATGTGACATATGTATACATTAGCAACCTGCAGCAACTGTACAGGAGACAGGTGATAGGGGACATATGTATACATTAGCAACCTGCAGCAACTGTACAGGAGACAGGAGATATGTGACATATGTATACATTAGCAACCTGCAGCAACTGTACAGGAGACAGGTGATATACAGGAGACAGGTGATACGTGACATATGTATACATTAGCAACCTGCAGCAACTGTACAGGAGACAGGTGATACGTGACATGTATACATTAGCAACCTGCAGCAACTGTACAGGAGACAGGTGATAGGTGACATATGTATACATTAGCAACCTGCAAAAACTGTACAGGAGACAGGTGATAGGGGACATATGTATACATTAGGAACCTGCAGCAACTGTACAGGAGACAGGAGATATGTCATATATGTATACATTAGCAACCTGCAGCAACTGTACAGGAGACAGGAGATATTTGACATATGTATACATTAGCAACCTGCAGCAACTGTACAGGAGACAGGTGATAGGGGACATATGTATACATTAGCAACCTGCAGCAACTGTACAGGAGACAGGTGATAGGTGATGTATGTATACATTAGCAACCTGCAACAACTGTACAGGAGACAGGTGATAGGTGATATATGTATACATTAGCAACCTGCAGCAACTGTACAGGAGACAGGAGATAGGTGATATATGTATACATTAGCAACCTGCAGCAACTGTACAGGAGACAGGTGATAGGGGACATATGTATACATTAGCAACCTGCAGCAACTGTACAGGAGACAGGTGATAGGTGACATATGTATACATTAGCAACCTGCAGTAACTGTACAGGAGACAGGAGATATGTGACATATGTATACATTAGCAACCTGCAGCAACTGTACAGGAGACAGGTGATACGTGACATATGTATACATTAGCAACCTGCAACAACTGTACAGGAGACAGGTGATATGTGACATATGTATACATTAGCAACCTGCAGCAAATGTACAGGAGACACAATATATATGTATACATTAGCAACCTGCAGCAATTGTACAGGAGACACGATATATATGTATACATTAGCAACCTGCAGCAACTGTACTGGAGACAGGAGATATGTGATAAAGAAATACATTAGCAACCTGCAACAACTGTACAGGAGACAGGTGATACATGACATATGTATACATTAGCAACCTGCAACAACTGTACTGGAGACAGGAGATATGTGATATAGAAATACATTAGCAACCTGCAACAACTGTACAGAAGACAGGTGATACGTGATATATGTATACATTAGCAACCTGCAACAACTGTACAGGAGACAGGAGATATGTGACATATGTATACATTAGCAACCTGCAGCAACCGTACAGGAGACACCATATATATGTATACATTAGAAACCTGCAGCAACTGTACAGGAGACAGGTGATAGGTGATAGGTGACATATGTATACATTAGCAACCTGCAGCAACTGTACTGGAGACAGGAGATATGTGATAAAGAAATACATTAGCAACCTGCAACAACTGTACAGAAGACAGGTGATACGTGATATATGTATACATTAGCAACCTGCAACAACTGTACAGGAGACAGGAGATATGTGACATATGTATACATTAGAAACCTGCAGCAACTGTACAGGAGACACCATATATATGTATACATTAGAAACCTGCAGCAACTGTACAGGAGACAGGTGATAGGTGACATATGTATACATTAGCAACCTGCAGCAACTGTACAGGAGACACGATATATATGTATACATTAGCAACCTGCAACAACTGTACAGGAGACAAGATATATATGTATACATTAGCAACCTGCAGCAACTGTACTGGAGACAGGAGATATGTTATAAAGAAATACATTAACAACCTGCAACAACTGTACAGGAGACAGGTGATACGTGATATATGTATACATTAGCAACCTGCAGCAACTGTACAGGAGACAGGTAATACGTGATATATGTATACATTAGCAACCCACAGCAACTGTACAGGAGACAGGTGATACGTGATATATGTATACATTAGCAACCTGCAGCAACTGTACAGGAGACAGGTGATACGTGATACATGTATACATTAGCAACCTGCAGCAACTGTACAGGAGACAGGTGATAGGTGATATATGTATACATTAGCAACCTGCAACAACTGTACAGGAGACAGGTGATAGGTGATATATGTATACATTAGCAACCTGCAGCAACTGTACAGGAGACAGGTGATACGTGATATATGTATACATTAGCAACCTGCAGCAACTGTACAGGAGATAGGTGATAGGGGACATATGTATACCTGCAGCAACTGTACAGGAGACAGGTGATAGGTGATATATGTATACATTAGCAACCTGCAACAACTGTACAGGAGACAGGTGATATGTGATATATGTATACATTAGCAACCTGCAGCAACTGTACAGGAGACAGGAGATAGGTGATATATGTATACATTAGCAACCTGCAGCAACTGTACAGGAGACAGGTGATAGGGGACATATGTATACATTAGCAACTGTAGAGGAGACAGGTGATAGGTGACATATGTATACATTAGCAACCTGCAGCAACTGTACAGGAGACAGGAGATATGTGACATATGTATACATTAGCAACCTGCAGCAACTGTACCATGTGTACAGGAGACAGGTGATACGTGACATATGTATACATTAGCAACCTGCAACAACTGTACTGGAGACAGGAGATATGTGATATAGAAATACATTAGCAACCTGCAACAACTGTACAGAAGACAGGTGATACGTGATATATGTATACATTAGCAACCTGCAACAACTGTACAGGAGACAGGAGATATGTGACATATGTATACATTAGCAACCTGCAGCAACTGTACAGGAGACACCATATATATGTATACATTAGAAACCTGCAGCAACTGTACAGGAGACAGGTGATAGGTGATAGGTGACATATGTATACATTAGCAACCTGCAACAACTGTACAGGGGACAGGTGATATGTGACATATGTATACATTAGCAACCTGCAGCAACTGTACAGGAGACAGGTGAAAGGGGACATATGTATACATTAGCAACCTGCAGCAACTGTACCGGAGACAGGTGATACGTGATATATGTATACATTAGCAACCTGCAGCAACTGTACAGGAGACAGGAGATATGTGACATATGTATACATTAGCAACCTGCAGCAACTGTACAGGAGACAGGAGATATGTGACATATGTATACATTAGCAACCTGCAGCAACTGTACAGGAGACAGGTGATAGGGGACATATGTATACATTAGCAACCTGCAGCAACTGTACAGGAGACAGGTGATAGGTGATATATGTATACATTAGCAACCTGCAACAACTGTACAGGAGATAGGAGATATGTGATATATCTATACATTAGCAACCTGCAGCAACTGTACAGGAGACAGGAGACAGGAGATATGTGATATATGTATACATTAGCAACCTGCAACAACTGTACAGGAGACAGGTGATATGTGACATATGTATACATTAGCAACCTGCAACAACTGTACAGGAGACAGGTAATACGTGATATAAGTATACATTAGCAACGTGCAGCAACTGTACAGGAGAGGTGATATGTGACATATGTATACATTAGCAACCTGCAGCAACTGTACAGGAGACAGGTGATACGTGTTATATGTATACATTAGCAACGTGCAACAACTGTACAGGAGACAGGTGATAGGTGAGATATGTATACATTAGCAACCTGCAGCAACTGTACAGGAGACAGGTGATACATGATATATGTATACATTAGCAACCTGCAACAACTGTACAGGAGACAGGTGATACATGATATATGTATACATTAGCAACCTGCAGCAACTGTACAGGAGACAGGAGATATGTGATATATGTATACATTAGCAACCTGCAGCAACTGTACAGGAGACAGGTGATAGGTGATATATGTATACATTAGCAACGTGCAACAACTGTACAGGAGACAGGTGATAGGTGATATATGTATACATTAGCAACCTGCAGCAACTGTACAGGAGACAGGTGATAGGTGATATATGTATACATTAGCAAGACACAGCAACTGTACAAGAGACAGGTGATATGTGATATATGTATACATTAGCAACCCACTGAGCATGTATTTCAGTCATCAAGGAATTAGCAGGTAAGTGTACCAACCTGCTTCTACCACTGGTAAGGTAAGGTGAAATGGATTGGTCAAGATTGTTGCATTTATTTAGCGATGTGCATGCACGTGTGGGTGGGTGTGTGGCTGCTTGTACTAGTCTGGACTAATGCCGATTTAATAGTGCTAGCCCACTGAGATACCATGCCACAGTTTAACATGAATACCACACTTGGATACAGTGTGCGGACTCCCCATAATGCTGAGTGCCATTAGATAATGATGAAAGCCCCGAACCAAGGTTGACTGCCCTCTGATCCAAATGGAATCACACATACAAAGAAAAGCAACCCGCTGAAACGAATATTGCACCAGTGGTGCAATACATTAAAGATAATGCACGAGTCACTGGACATTTGTTACATCTAATGTACAAGCAAGCTAGATCGCATGTTCGTAATGCATGGGCATTTTGTGTGATTTGATCGTTGTTGCTAGTATATTTGCAGATTTATTAAACAAGCTTTAATTTTGCATTGCAGAAAGTAGTTCCATAAACTGTCAATTCATTACAGATAATCTACAGAGTGAAACAATAGCGTGACTTAAGTCATATAAGGATTGAAGTTGCATTTGTTGACGTTCATCAGCTGATGAAGACAGTGCGTCACGTGAGCAAATTCCATGATGCGTGAATGGCAGAAAATGGTGGCTGTGGTATTCTATGATGCGCGAAGCACTGTCTTCATCAGCTGATGAAAGTCAACAAATGCAATAAACATCAAACTTTAATTATTGAAATGGAACTATATCAATGCGGAGAGTCTTCACATCGTGATGTCATCCGTCCCAAACATTCCATTTGGAGTGACATCCCTTGGTTTTACAAACGGCAGAAAATGGCAGCAACCGCAATGTCATTTGCTTGAAATACAAGTTACACCCAGTAAATTTACCATTGGAATTCTAAAGAACTCTAGACCCAGCTCATGCTGAAAATGGATACATATTAACATTCTGTGAACTTTTGGTGTGTGTTGAGTCGTACTACGGTTGCTGATAACGGGGATTACCGCTTGAGGCGGCGCGGTTGGATTTACTGAGGCATGATAGTGCGGAGCTCGGTGATTTCTTTTGTTAATTTGAGCATTCTCTGTTGTAGCCTCGAATGGACACTTCATTTCGGTGACCCGACGTACACATGATCTGTCTGTCTTCAAAGCCTGCATCATTCTTAGCCTAAATCGATGTCGCTCTCAGTTTTCCCTCATTTTTTTAAATATTATTTTTAGACCTTGAGGAATTCCCCTAAAGTAGTTCTGTATGTCTCCGCGCGATTGACAACGTAATCATGTGACATACTGACGTTCATCGGGACATGAACGACAGTCAGCTTGGTAGTGTTCACCTTGGCGAGGTCAAACTCTACTGTCAATAAAGCTGTATGATATCAAGCAGGGTGAGTATCACCTGAACCCAACTCACTGTGACACAGAAACACTGTAACATCTGTGCTTTTTGTGTACATATTATGTAGTAATGTGAAAAAGCTAGCCAACTTCATAGTCTTCCTGATTTGGGAGCATGTTAGATAAAGTTGCAGTCAGTATAAGCTATGTCAGTGTGTCCTGTGCAGGCGTGTTTTCAACAAATATAACAATTAATTCACTATTTTCTGGCTTCCAAACACAAATTGTTTCCCAAATTATTTCATAATATTTAAAGTGCAACCCCACTTTTCCTGAAAGGTGAAGCCACGCTCGCATAGAAGTCCCTACCTTCATGGAGTACATGTAGTTGTTGTTGACGTTCAAGTATTCGCACCTGAAACAGACCAGGTACATAAGATATATACCACAACACATGAGTGAGTATATGCTGTTTTACACCGAAGTCAGCAATATTACAGCTACATCACACCGGCAGAACTAAGTGTGAGTGCATATCGTTATAATAAAATGGGAAGGTTTCTTGGCAGCATACAATCAATGGATAAAAACAGTATCCGTATCATAGACTGGGGTTAGAGAAGGTTCCCATTGATAAACATGATAAAGGGCAGTTACTCCAGCGGCGGGTGAACCGTATGTTTGAACACATTTAACTGTGTCTTGGGTATATTTTTAGATGCAAGACATATGTAAAATCAAATATTATTTCTGAGGGATTCTTTGACGAAGAACTTGAAATCAAACGCGCATTCTGATTGGTTTGTGGTATTTTCGCACATAACATTCATCGATAGGGGGATGAGTCTTCTTGCACGTTACGGAAAGGGTCGAGTAGTGACGAATGGGGCGGACCGATGGGCTGCCGCAGAAGGCAAGTAGAACAATATGTATAGGCACTTTCCTATATGTAGTTACGCCACAGATTTCAGTTTGAACCACACTGACTGGTGTCACTGTTCCACTGACAAATCACTGACCTTTTGATGTTAATAGATATTATTCCAGGAAAACTTGCAATGTTTATGTAACGTTTGTGAGAGATGAGAACAGCTTTTTCGACAATAGAATTGAAAGAATCTAAGAATGACATTGTATGATAAAAAGATTATCACGCTTGTGGGCTTTGGGATGGAAAATCTGTATTAGGTATCAATATGTCACTTTCATCAACATTCCACAATTATCATGGTAGGGACACAAGCATGAACTACAAGCATGGGGTACATGGGAAATATTCGGCCCAAGAATCGCTATGGGGTGGAGATTTTCTGTAAACTTACTGTGGGAAGGAGTGGTGGCTGAGACTGGTGATGGCGTTATGCATCAGGTTGAGGTGCACAACTTGCTTTAACCTTCCAAGAATCCGCTCCATGTTCTTCTTCTGATATTTGTCCTGCAACTCTTGGTAAGTAATGCTGGCAAACTGTAATCAGGGAACAAAACAACTGTGTAATAATTCTCAGTTAAGCTCACTTTAGCTGTATGAGCAAGGTATATCAATACAAATGATACCAATGTAACACAAAGTAGTGCGAGTTGATGTGGGAGGACAAATATGATATCATTGTAAAAACAGCGGTAGAAATTGGCACTAGTCCTATAGTCCTTGCCAAACTCCCCAATAGTGAAGGTATCATAAGGACTAGTAGAAAATTTGCCATTTTAAAGGGTTTTGCTATATGATATCATTATAAGGGCTAGTGGACTAAAACTGTTACTTTCTACCGCTGCAAAATATTTTAACTTTCAAGAACATTGCTATGGTAACAAACAATCCTGTTTAGAATCATCGTATTTCGTAAACAAGCTTCAAAGATGTAAGATATTATATTCAAAGTTGAAAGCAGATTATGGTTGGAAAACTACACAGGTGAAGGATAAAATCTGAGACACAGTGAGGGCGGCAACTTACCACAGAAATCTGAGACACAGTGAGGACGGCAACTTACCACAGAAATCTGAGACACAGTGATCAAGGACGGCAACTTACCACAGAAATCTGAGACACAGTGATCGAGGGCGGCAACTTACCACAGAAATCTGAGACGCATTGATCGAGGACGGCAACTTATTACAGAAATCTGAGACACAGTGATCGAGGGCGGCAACTTACCACAGAAATCTGAGGCATTCTGAACAATGGAGTAACCATGCCTCTCTTTCCTTTGAGAAGAAAGAAACTACGACAAAAGTGTCTGGCAGATGCCATTTATCTTACGTTTTGAAACAAGTTGTAAAGTAAATGGCACATGAGAGACACAAGCTCTGTATCTGTTTCTTACACACCCTAAAATAGCACCATTCCAATAGCATTGAATCAATGCATATTGTGTCTTTTCTCATGATCGCTGTGGTGAATTTATACATAATGTTGTCATCCACACATACCTTGTGTGACACACCGTAAAAAAATTCAGCCATACATGTTGATTATCAAGGTTGTGATAATGCAAACTAGATAAGATCAAAGGACATTATTAGATGCTCAAAAACTATAAAGTTTTGACACAGACGTATGTGAATTCGACTAAAGCACAAGAAACAAGTCAATGAATTATGAATCATGAAAGTAGTCTGTCATAATCGGATCTTCAGTCTTCACAATGCAGGGGCAAAATATGGACCTGAAAATCTCACATGTTTGATTCCAGTCATATCAAATTGATTTCAAACTCACGGGAGTGTAAGAAAAAGGGTATATGCCCTTCAACATGTCCCACTGCCCTGTCTACCCCAGTACAGTCTTCCTCCCCCTCTCCTAGAACCATCACTCCCTCCCTTGGTCATTTACCCTCGTACAAAAGAGACCCCACTAGTGCTGTGTCGCAGCGCCCTGTCAAGCCAAGCACACTGGAATTCCCCAGGAAACTCACCTTGGCTGTTTCCCAGTTCTCTGCCTGGTCCCTGTATCTTGTCCTCTCCCGACCGGTCAGTGAGTGGTGGATCAGATTGTCCTCCTCATCACGCAACTCATAGAATGTTCGTTCCTTCCCATCCGGACCTTAAACATGTCACACAAGTAGTTTGAACAGAATTTCAGCTATATCACAGGCAGCCAGCATGACATTGGGGAAAGCCTTAAGTGATGCAGGTCGTATATGTTTTCCACGGTTGAGAAATAAATGAGCTTGGTCATAATAATGACAATCAAAAAGTGATAATCAGGGTGAATATTGGACTCCAACCAATGCTAAGTTGATCCTGCCCACTCACCTTTCCTGACTCGGGGAGCCTTCAGCTCATCCCCCTTGACGCTGCTGTCTCGCAGCTCATGCCACACACTGTGCTTGAACCGCTGAGACGGCAACTGACAACAAAGAAAATGCATATATAATACCACTATCAATTGGGAGGGGCAGTCGGGTAGCCTTGTGGTTAAAGCGTTTCGCTCGTCACGCCAAAGACCCAGGTTCGATTCCTGATATGGGTACAATGTGTGAAGCCCATTTCTGGTGTCCCCCGCCATGATATTGCTGGAATATTGCTGAGAGCGTAAAACTATACTCACTCACTCACTCACTCACTATCAGTTGATCATTCTACAAGGGAAGGAAATTAGCAATCACCTGCTCACCAGTTTTGTTAATGTGTCCTAAGGGCTAGCACACTTCCAAACATTTTAGGGACCACGTATAACTATATGTTTTCGCTATTCAAGCAAGAAGACTTTCTGGGTTAACTCCATCCCTGTTCTACTGTCCTACAATGCAGATTCCCATGCATTATTTGACATGATGACAATGCCTAACATGGCCCATCCTTGATTACCCAGCGCATAATGTCTGCATCCAATTACAAATACCTTGCACCCCATCACTACCCCAGCCTTGTTTTGTAAGTTACCATCTCCATCTCTGTTATCGCTCATGAGTGTAATCTGACTGGAAGGCAAGTTTTAGCGATGCACCTTTCGAATATGGTTCAAATCAAAACTGTGGTAGCAAATTAGTTCAGGGTGTTTATTTGGAAAAAGTTGGTACATAATACACTGGATAATCGAGGATGAACATGTTCACCGAGATTAACGCTAAGTCTCCGAAAATATATATAATTTGGATAGAAACAGGCAACTACATTCAAAAAGGAACCAAGTGAGATGGGAGTTTCAGAACCAAAATCTTGACTTGCTTCATTTAGGGCTGTAGCATTACAGTAATGGCAGGGCAGAAGGGAAAATAATATGGTTAAGGGATTGTGCAGCACACTAATGTTCATCCAGTTCCAGATTCAGCTCCATTTGGATAGAGTGATGAAGTTCAGTTTGATTCTGCTTTGAGTAGTTAAACTATGGTCTGTCAGCTTAATATGGACGGATGGCAACAAGAGACACAGCGAGGTTGAAGACATAGATAATGTTTACCACAGCCACAAACATGGGTACGGTGGTCTCGAAGCAAGTGTACAACTGTGTTTCAGAGGATCCTGGCTCAAATAAGGGATGCTACTCAGCATAGCAAATGCAGCACCAAACACAACCAACATAACAGAATCATATGTTTCTCAAATAATTTACACTGAAAATATGCAAATCAGATTGGCTTGTAGGAATTACTTTCAACATGTTCAAGCTCCATACATCAATGCAATGCTTTCTTCCTCAATTATACAGTCTACGAATTACATTAACTGTGAAGAGGATGTTAAACCCCCACTCAGTTCTCAATCATGTGTAAAATATGCATAAAGTTTGAAAGCACACGTAAAATACCTAACTCTGTCACTCTCTTTCTCAATTTACTATTGACTAACCCTCCCAGTATCCTTAGACAGGGGTTCCAAATGTGTGGGCAAAGATGGCTGCAATCAATTTAGCACTTTATGATGTGTGGTTTCTAGAGCTACTTCATTGATAAAATTAAGTCTTAGGCTTGAAAAAATAAAAGAATTGTTTCTCATGCATTGACTTTGGAAAATATAGTGTGGATGGGCAATTACTTTTTGGGGCTTGTTCAAACTGGTATGTAAGCAAATAAACAGTTGTGTACCATCAACCTGGGAAAGGGCCTCCCTACATAAACAAGCAACTCCTATTGCCGCCATGACCATAACACAAGATTTGCAGTAAAGCAGTGCACATATAAACAACCAACTTCGGGCTATATTGGATCGCATTGTTTTTAAGTATTACGATTTTTATATTTTGGGGGAAAATGGAACAAAAAATGAAACTTGCAGAAGACTTTATGACGATGCGGGTGGTGCCGTAGAACCAAGACTATTATTTTTTTTAGCCTTAAACATTCAATATTTTATGAATGACCTTATACGATAAAGAGATTATTATCCTCTTGTGTTTCTGTATCATAGATATCATATGTTAGGAATACAAATAATTAATTGTATGATGCAAGCCTTTGGCGGACATAGTATTTATTTTTATTCCAACAAAAAAAAGAAAAGAATCCAAGTATTTGAAATTTACAATATGGAAACATATTCGACTAATAATCCGTATTTACCTCTGGAAGTTTTTTCTGCTGAGCTCTAAAGTACCCAGCTTGTTGGTTCAGTGCTACAACAGATAGTGGGACATTGGTGCCATCCGAGCCAGTCTGAGTTGTCTCCCCTGTGTCTTTTGTCGTCTGACTGATGGAACTCTCAGATGACACAGATAAACTGAAAAGATGAAAATATTATTCATCAAACATGCCAAACTGGACTGTTTCTAGTACATTTTATCATGTCCCAAGACAAATAATATGATAAATACTTGTTTTACTTCTCCAGTAATTATGTGTTCTCAGTTGGTACAGGGTAAAATTTTGTTCTCAACTCCTGAGACCATAAAATATATTAGTTCTTTGGATATACAATATCAACATGATCAAGCAAATGATGATAACGCTGTTAGTATCTACACTAAAATGTTACATTCACAGTAATAAAGAAGTTCCATATCAACAAAACAACCTCCCTTGTTCATCAAATGTACTTCTAAATGCCGGACCCGTGAAGATCTGGGGTAGAATAGGTCTTCAGCAACCCATGCTTGCTGTGAAAGGCAACTATGTTTGTCGTAAGAGGCGACTAACGGGATTAGGTGGTCAGGCTCACTGACTCCCAATTGCGTGGATCGATGCTCATGATATCAATCACTGTATTGTCTGATCCAGACTCGATTAATTACAGACCGCCGTCACGTTGCTGGAATATTGCTGAGTGTGGTGTAAAACAACAAACCAACCAACAAAATGTCGCTTATCGAATAAATTTGGACTCATCCCAGGCCTATAGTAAATACTCAATGGCTAAAAACACCCTCCTGGAGCTCTGGAACAAAATCATTTGCATCATTACTCATGTCACACAGGACCACAGCTAAGCAAGTCTCTATGGTGTATATGCATTAACTTTTTCATGTGTTGGCAGTAACTCCTCATGATTATTAGGGCTGGGACGGGTAACTCGGGTACTCTGGTCGGTACTGAATATACGTGATATATTGTTCAATGACTTCAAGTCACTAATGTTCGCAGTTCTTCCTGACTACAAGGCCCATTGCTTCTGACTTTTAAATGTTTGAATAAAATTAAAACTTCAGTCAACTCCAGTGTACACACAAGATCGTTTCATTCATGTATCTAAACACATTTTACCAGAGCCACGGTCAAACATTTCCCAATCGGAGAGTTTGTACCTACATCTGACACAGATAAACTGAAAAGATGAAAATGTTATTCATCAAACATGCCAAACTGGACTGTTTCTAGTACATTTTATCATGTCCCAAGACAAATAGTATGATAAATACTTGTTTTACTTCTCCAGTAATTATGTGTTCTCAGTTGGGGAAATTATTGCCATGAATGCAAATAAACTGTGAGGGAGTGTGCTGGAGTTTTAAACTTTTGTGTTGAACAATATCTCACTTACATCATGGCATGTCATCATCCCTGCCAGCTTAATGTGAGAGAAAAAACAAACAGATGCAGTTCGTTGATGTTTACCAGTATGGTGAAATCATAACCTAGAGAATACAATGCAATAGTCTTAAGCCAATGCTATTCAAGCAATCATATTTCCATATTCACATGAATGTGTCTCCTTAAGGCGACAGTGTGCCCCTTGGGTTGGCTTTTCATTTTTAAATCCCAGATTTGCCCCACTAAGGGGCAGGTCACATATGAAAGAGTGGGGTGCCAGGGGGAATCAAGGGAGAGTCATGAAAAATACAACATATTTTGAGATGATCATGAAAGAAATGTAAAAAGACATGGGGAGGGTCATCAAAAATATGACAAAATATAAAAAATCAAGTCATTGATATTTTAAGCAACAATCCACCCCATCAGAGTACTTTGACATGCATTCAACCAAGTCATCGAGTCTGACCACCTGATTCATTAAGTCGCCTCTTACTACCAGTATAGGTTGCTGGAGACCAATTTTAACATGGTATTCATGGCAGATGTACCACAACACATATAAGCCTGGCCTAGATAGATCCATCAGAGAGCCAGAAAAAAAGGTGTGTACTTGTGTAAAAGAAGCAAACTAAATCAGCATAACCCAACAAATTTTGAGTTGCTTGCATATAAATATGCATGAAACAAATTGATAACCCAATAGTGTACATGGAAGTCTTTACAGATCTTTTCTTACAGACTGAATGCATGCACCATGTGAACTCGACTGCAGTGAAAAAAACACATGCATGTATCTGTAAATGTCACCTATGTGACCTTCTTGTAAGATGTATGACTGTTCTGAGGTTTGCGACATGTGACTCACATGGGGCATAACACAAACATATGCTTATTTGAACTTACATGAAACAGCATCAATAGAAGCAGAAATATTTTTAAAAGGGAATACTCCTCTGTTTTCAAAATCTGATAGACTGCACCCAAACAGAGTAAAAATACACAAAAATCCAAAAGGAAAACTATCAATACCCAATGTGAATCATAACATGAGTAAATACTTGGGCTGGGATGGGTAAAATGGGTACTTGGGTCGGGTGGGTACTGAGTAGGACCCGGGTACCCACAGGACTACCCTGTTCCGTAGTTATTCACATGATATATTGTTTAATGACAAAAATTCACTTATGGCAATAACAACAAAACACCATGGTCACTCAACAAGTAACTAATGTTTGCATTTTTTTCTGGCTATGAATGCATTCTTTCTGACTTTTATGTCTGAATAAAGCAAACGCTTCAGTCAACACAGATGTATGCATGACCAGATCGTCCTTTCTGTGTTTCTAAATAAATTTTGCAAGTAAAACAATTCCCAATTGGACATATTTGGTTCCCAACTCCTGAGACCATGAAATATATTTTATCGTCTCTGCTGAGACCTACAGAGGGTACCCGTGTAGGGTCGGTTAACAGGGGGTCGGGTACTCGGTGAGTAAATTTGGATTCACAAGGGAGATAGTTCTTTGGATATACAATATCAACATGATCAAGCAAGTGATGATAACACTGTTAGTATCTACACTAAAATGTTACATTCACAGTAATAAAGAAGTTCCATATCAACAAAACAACCTCCCTTGTTCATCAAATGTACTTCTAAATGCCGGACCCGTGAAGATCTGGGGTAGAATAGGTCTTCAGCAACCCATGCTTGCTGTGAAAGGCGACTATGTTTGTCATAAGAGGCGACTAACACGATCAGGTGGTCAGGCTCAATGACTTGGTTGATGCATGTCATCGATCCCAATTGCGTGGATTGATGCTCATGATATCAATCACTGGATTGTCTGATCCAGACTCGATTATTTACAGACCACTGTCATGTTGCTGGAGTATTGCTGAGTGCAGTGTAAAACACCAAACCAACCATCTAAATGCTGCTTATCGAATAAATTCGGACTCATCCCAGGCCTAGGAAATACCCAATGGCTAAAAAACCCCTCCTGGAACAAAATCATTTGCATCATTACTCATGTCACACAGGACCACAGCAAAGCAAGTTTCTATGGTGTTTATGCATTAACTTTTTCATGTGTTGGCAGTAACTCCCCATGATTATTAGGGCTGGGACGGGTAACTCGGGTACTCGGGTCGGGTAGGTACTGAATAGGACCCGGGTACCGACAGGACTACCCGGACCTGTGGTTATATAGCCACGTGATATATTGTTCAATGACAAAAAATATCTAAAACTCTTTGTTTAAACTTCAAGTCACTAATGTTCGCAGTTCTTCCTGACTACAACCCCCATTGCTTCTGACTTTTAAATGTTTGAATAAAAATAAAACTTCAGTCAACTTCAGTGTATACACCAGATCGTTTCATTCATGTATCTGAACACATTTTACCAGAGCCACGGTCAAACTTTTCTCAATCGGAGTTTGTACCTACATCTTGAGACCTGCAGCGGGTACCCGGGTAGGGTCGGGTAATAGGGGAGTGGGTACCCGGGTAGTAAAGTTGGACTCGTCCCAGCCCTAACGATTATCATATGCTAGTCTAGGCATTGTTTATAGGCCTACACGGGAGCTATACTTTGCTACGCTGATTTAATCAATATTAGTGTAAGTCGTGAAGCGAGTCCAGACAAACAAATGTAGGATATGTAACATTTATCCAAGATTTATTAACCAGTATACAAACTTTTCAGGACAGACTGCAAGAAAAAAGTCCATCTTGATCTCTATGTCAAAGTAAAAGCTATCGTATCATATTTTACATCAAATTTACATTTTAATAAAAAATGAGACGAAATTACCTTTCAGTGTCAGCCATCATTTACAACAAGCAATCTTATTGATTTAATTCAGTCATGCACACGTAACTGGAACTACTTGATCAAGCATAACTGCGGAGTTTAATGTCGGCATCACCAAATTCGCATGTTGGCAAGTTCGAGCGCACTTGTCAGTGCGCCGCCATATTGTAAACAAGCACCTGTCTTCCGGTGACGTCATCGTCTATTTCCCTTAGCAACATGTAGACTTGCTTCAGCCTCCAAAATAACTCGTCAGGCTTCAGACTTACAGCTTGTTCTCTCAAAATTTACAGTGAAAAGCTTAGTGAAAAACTATATCCGACCGAAGACAGTGAAATGCCTGCACATTCATGATTTCAATGTTATTTTATTTTGTGTCGACTGGCCTTATTCGACTGGCAACTTTCCTTCTCTCCTCACAGATGCAATCTTTTAAAATATATAAATTTGACATCTTGTAAGTGAACGGAGCCAGTCAAAACGGCAACACTCGTGGGAAAACAATTAAAAACCTCAAAAAGACCTAAATAACCACACAAATATAAGATAAAGTTGTTTGATTGATCTCATACTTTTACTTGAGAAATTAGTGCAGAGTTGCGTCCATTATTTGCCCACGTCAGAAACCTATGATCGTGGGTTCGAATCCCGGTTCGCCCCGATTGTTTCTAGGTTTGTCAGCACTATACCCGTGCTCGTGTGCTAAAATCTGGAATGCCATTCAAAGCCACGTAAACCCAACTCGCTCATTTCGTGATTGTATAGAGCACATGTAAGATATACTGTATTTATTTGCATATGTTAACAGAATTTTCTAAGATCTACCGTTAAACAAAGCCCCCCCCCCCCCCCCCCCCCCCCCCCCCCACACTCTCTCTCTCTCTCTCTTATAGTCGAATCGTGTGAGTAGGTAAAACACTAATTCTATTGAATTGTGACTATAAAACCACTATAACTGTGTATCGAAATCTGCTTGAAACATTGTGCTATCCTATACAGAAAACAAAATGAAAATATATTACACAGGGGCTGAGATATTTAATACAATGTTACGTCACCCCCAAAAAAACAATTTTGACGAAAATTGCTTATTGACATGTGGTGGCAGATTATGTTAATGTATTGGATGAGTGGGATAATAGCAATAATGCTTCTTAAAAACACGAAAATAGTCAAATCAAAAAGAAAAATGATGCTTCAAGTTTTTCTATGAACATCTGTGGTGGACATCTTGAATTTCAAGATAGCCATTTTGACCTGTTTTCAAAATCAAGATCTATTTTAGTTCTTCAACATGGTCATGTAATACATCACGTGAAAGCTTTTTACAATATCTTTTCAATGATGTACTTTATTCACAGGATCCTGAGGTAAATTGATCCCTAACAATAAAACAAATGATACAATGCGACACCAACCCACACCCACACCCACACCCACACCCAAAGTCAGATTTTAATTAAAATGGACATAGTTTCACTCAAAATTGTAGATATACTGCACTTTTGTCTTGTTGATCAATTGAGTGAAGAAAACCACGTGAATACTTGTAGTATTATGAAGTATATAAAATACATCACAGATACAAGAGCTGTGAAATAATGTCACCTCTATTCACCGTCCGAGTCCATCTCTTCTGGGGAGGTTGGTAAGTTGTTAGGCACGACATAGCACAATAGCATGCAAGGGAACATCCCATGTTGTTCTTGGCGCAGCTACACCTGGATGAGGAGCATCTCCTTGTTGTGCACTTACAGGTGAGCAATTCTAGATACAGTGCTGGCATTCCTTTCTGGGTCATTAGGATGGGTTCTATGATATCCTCAGTAGACTTCCACCTATACTCTTCTGGTGGTGGAAAGTCAGCCTTTCCTTTGTGTGCAGAACACCACATGATGTCCATGTGAAGATGACCCGTGGATTGAACACGAGACCTGGTCACCTTCGTGTCCATACCTAAACATGGTCGGTGCCGTAGGTGTCGGCAGGACGACAGAGCCCGACTCCACGGTGACAAGGGTAATCGATTGGGCAAAATTGCGCACGCGGCAAAAGAAACGAAGAAGGATTATTTGCCCGACATAGGCTCGACCCGAGAGATAAACGACCAACAACCAGGGAATAAGACATATTTCAGTCTTAAGACCCTGTGTCATTTCTAATGAGAGTGAAAGTGTTAATGTTAAAACGACAGTGGCTGACACGTTACCTATATGTATTTATAAGCATATGTCATATAATGTAAAAACTTGTAAACGATATGTTATGTGTTTGTTGTTCAATAAGTTCCAGACGCGCAGGTGTCATAAGAGTATGACGGGTGGCCCAGTCGTCTAAGGCGCCGCGATTCGCTGTGCAGAGTTGCGTCCCTTGGGCACGCCAGAAACCTATGATTGTGGGTTCGAATCCCGGTTCGCCCCGATTATGTTTCTAGGTTTGTCAGCACCATACCCGTGCTCGTGGGTTTCACCGAAGTGGTAAACGTCTGAATCCTGCATCACTTCGGGCTTTCCTCCCACATTAAGCTGACACGCCGTGATATAACTGGAATACTTTTAAAAGCGACGTTAAACCCAACTCACTCACTCACATAAGAGTATGACGCCATGCTATAAATAGCTAACCAGCTGTATCCACTATATTCACACAGTAGTCAAATTATGGAAATCCCCTCGCTGACCTCAACGTAAAAACGGTATGACCTGCTTTATGAACACCTTGGACGTCTCCATACATAAATCACCCTTGCCTCTGCGTCGTAGTCTGTCCTTTTTAAGAATAGTAACACTGATGGTATGAGATCTTAGACATATGGGTTTCATATTAGAACAGTTGATATCTACTCTTGTTCTGTTAACCAATAACACATTGGCCCGTGGAACACCGCCTCACCGCGAGTGAAGTTATTGTATATTATAGAAGACAGGAATTTATCTGACATTGTTCGACATCACAGTGGACTTTTCACTTTATCGGGGAAGATACTCATCTATATTTACGTGTATGAAGACATAATCACAAACGGCCATGTAACATGTCCAATCAGAACCGGTGTTTGGGCCACAGCGATTAGAATGATAGTGTTGGTGAGACCGGATTTAAATTGAACTTCGAGCCTCAGGTTCCCTGATTTCAATTGATGGACAAAGGTTCCAGGTTGAAAACGAAGGGGGTGTTGCAGACTTGAAACTGTGTTCTTACTATGTCGTTGACTTTGTCCTCTCGCCACCTGTTGGCACCTTCAAACAAGATCACATTGGCTTCTATGTCGTCTGCATCAACTGGTCTACCTGGAACTCTGACACCATCCAGATACAGCTTTGGGTTTTATGGCCTTTGTACTGTTTTGTAATTTATGATAATACCTCGGTTCTTTCGACAATGTCCTGATTGTGTGACGTCACTTCTATTGTGGCCCTGTCGTCTAAGGCGCCGCGATTCGCTGTGCAGAGTTGCGTCCCCTGGGCACGCCAGAAACCTATGATAGTGTGTTCGAATGCCGGTTTGACCCGATTATGTTTCTAGGTTTGTAAGCACCATACCCGTGCTCGTTGGTTTCACCGAAGTGGTAAACGTCTGAGACCTGCATCACTTCGGGCTTTCCTCCAACATTAAGCTGACATGTACACGCCGCGATATAACTGGAATACTGGTAAAAGCAGCGTTAAAACTAACTCACTCACTTCTATTTTAGCTGTATTAGATTTCTATTTTGTGGAGGTATGCTGTTTAGGAAAAACAATAAGCATTGACGAATTGTGGTGACTTTTCTAAATGTTAGTATAAAAGTAGCGGTTGTCGAAGTACTGAATGAACCTCTCGTCTAAACTGTTGCTATGTGTGCCTGTCACCTCATTTGACATGATGATAAATGAAAACAAATTTGAAATACAAGCAGTTTTATTCGTATTTCACATCGGACGCACATTTACATATACGTATACGTGATATACAAACAGTGATGTGATATTCTTCAAAACGCGTTTTTAAATGCAACAGCCTTACGACCATCTTCCCGAGGCAAGAGCGCCCACTAGCCTTTTTATCAAAGTCTTGTTTCCACCCTTTCCACACCAAGCCCTGTGCTAAATATGATTGGTCTATCGTACATATCGATAGTCCAATCAGAGGACGTTTCACAAAATCAACATACACGACTGGTACACCTTCGTATGAAAGTCATGTACCACTGCCTGTCTTTGTTGACACGAATATGTCTTTCTCACTTTTCAAAGCCACCAACGATTGCCTATGTTTTTGTGTCGGAGATGAAATCGCGAATGTTTTCGTTATCTGATCGGCAAGGTCGTCCCCTATGGTAGTCGCCATCTTTGTGAAGCTACACGAGATAAGAACAGCGACCTGATTGGATATCGCGTTTTCATTACAAGGGGCACAACACGTGATCTACGCGAGGTGGCGCCAGGGTCGAGCAAAGAAAAGTGGCCTTGATGTAGTAAGAGTAGAAAGGAGGCTTTGATATAAGCTAGTGGACACACTTGCCTCGGGAAGATGCCTTACGACCCGCTTCTTCAGATTGTCTTTCCATTGTTCAGTCTGAATGTGCGTATTCTAAAAGGCTACACATTGAAACTGACAACATAAAAGAGAACTCAAATGTCTAATGTGGGAGACAGGTCTGTATATAATAAATACAGACATAAATACAGACATAATAAATGGGTCTGTTCACTCAGGCATTGTATTTCCGACGTCAGGAATGTTTCAGGAATAAAACGTATGTATTATACAGAGGGAGATCCAGGATCTCGAAAAAGGCATTTGAGATAAGGATTGAAAGAATCTTATATGGGAGTCTTCTTATCACAAATGCGTAACTGTTATTTCTGAACCAAATCCTCTCTTTTCTTCAGGTTCACTCTCTGGGGGAGTGTCAGTTTTGTAGGCTCTGTTCAGGTGAACCTCTTTGAGTTCCTCAGTCTTGCCTTTACAAGAGTTATCTGCCCATGGCTGTAACTCCCCATTTCCGAAAATAAGAAACACAATAATGGCAAACAGGTAGATGCCAACTGTGAGGTAGAATGCGATGTTCCATTGCTCCTTGGTCCTCTGAAAGATAAGAATGAATGGAATTTGTGTTGTTTTTTTTATATTCAAGGACAATCATGTATGAATTTGCTGTTGTTCTTTAAAAGGTATTATTTCTCTACTATCAGAGAGATGTATCTTTTGTTGGCAAGTATAAAGTTAAAACTAGATTCATTCAGATAAAAACGTATTTTTTACAAGAAAAAAGACGTAAAATATCGATCGATATAATGTGACAAAGCTTTTGTGGAAACAATTACGAGTTAAATTGTATAATATTATATATCCTAATAACATCTTAATATCTACAAGAAATGTCATTGACGTCATTAGAAAACCAACAGTGTTTATTTATCGTGCCTAACAAAAAGGAAGTGATGTATTATCTGTTGTGGAACTATTTCCTGATGGTGGACCTGCTGTGTGCCATGGGATGCTGTCCTATACTTGCACGAATAAAGACAGTCCAGACACAGTGTACAAGGGCATGGCAGGGTCGATACCTGGTCCATTCTACTTAGCCATTTAAGTGGTGCAACGCCAATCGCAAGTCTATGTTAAAGTACAGGAGTTGCGATCATCTTAGCGCGCGATCGCTTTGCCAAACCGGGCCCTGGACCCACTTACCCAAAGTGATCTTAGAGCTAAGACGATCGCAACTCCCATACTTCAACTCTGACTTACGACCATCGTATGCCCAATCGCGCTATGTTCAATACTGCAATGACAATCACAAGTCTGCTTTCATGTATAAGATAAACCTAGCACTCAGATCACTTTGTGTAACACAGCCTTGTCGATTCGGAATACTAATTGTCTATTGGTCAAGTGTAACAAGTTCACATATAAATTCGTTGCTAATGACAACCTTATTCGCCGAACATGACACATATTGTAATGGATACTGATTTCACTCACGTCGACGATGATGTAGGACGCAGTCAACGGGGACAACATCTGTGCCACCACTGCCACGGCTGTCCCTAGTGCTGTAATTACTGATGCGAACCTTCGCAACAAACATGTGTACATTATTGAAAAAGTGAATGAGCGAGATGGGCTTAACGCCACCCTGGACTGTGTTTCAGTTATATAACGGCATGTACATATGGTAAACTAAGAATCAAGCATGGCTGTGTGTTAGCTTATTGTGAGCTCACGGTGACACTTGTCACAGACATTGAACCCAAGATCAGTGGCTAAAATAGATATTAAAGTAAATAAAATGTTCAATTGTGGCTGCCCCTCCCCCTATGTATATGTGTAATCACTTCCAGCAGCAAGCACACGGAATGTATACCAGTATTACCAGTACCAGTATTACCAGTACTAGTACATGTCATTATACACAATACACCCCTATCCCTGAACCTAGGGAATTAAGAATTTTATCCGACATCGAACTTTTGAACTGGTCCCTGGCCATCACCCATCTCACAACTACCACCCGTTGCGAAAAGTGAGTGAGTGAGTGAGTGAGTTGGGTTTAACGCCGCTTTTAACAGTATTCCAGTTATATCACGGCGCGTCAGCTTAATGTTGGAGGAAAGCCCGAAGTGATGCAGGTCTCAGACGTTTACCACTTCGGTAAAACCCACGAGCACGGGTATGGTGCTGACAAACCTAGAAACATAATCGGGGCGAACCGGGATTCGAACCCACAGTCATAGGTTTCTGGCGTGCCCAAGGGACGCAACTCTGCACAGCGAATCGCGGCGCCTTAGACGACTGGGCCACCCGTGCCCCCCGTTGCGAAAAGAGACACAGCAGCTTTATCTCCGTCTACTTACTGGGGAGCCATGTCCAGCGTCGTGACGAGAGCCCCGGCAACGGTGGAGCTCTGGCTGAACGTCAGTCCGGCAAACAGCACGACAGAGACTGTCCTCTGAGACACGGGGATGAGGATGATTACTATTGTCAGTAGAGCAGCTGCCACAAACCCTGAATACAACACGCATGTGTCTCAATCAACATCACCGATCTGTGAAGATGGAATTGACATGTGAAGGTTTGATTTCCTATTTGAAAACATCCAGGTTTACGTTTCAAATATGCTGTTAATTTATAACAGAATGAGCACACACTGCTTAATTATATTCCTCCATACAATTGTTTTTCCACTCAGTTAATTCTACGAACAAGCATTTCACAAGTTCCACAAGTTTTGTGTGTGTTTGTTGTTTCACGCCGCACTCAGCAATATAACGGCATTTCTAAAAAAACAGTGATTGACATCATGAGCATCGTCGTACGTCAAAAACATACGTAACCATAAATTACTGAAACTGAAGCTACCCCAACATCTTGTAGTGCCACTTTGCATCGGCGATCAGCCTTGCCTGCAGCAGAAGCAGCTACACCCACCTAGAGTCTGCACGGTCTTTCTGGCTGTGGTGACGCTGAATCTCTCACTGAGATGTGAGGACAGAGTAGTCCAGCTGAGAATCCCACAGAACCGTGTGATGTAAGGCACCGCTGACAACAAGCCGTTCTAAACAGACGATAACATTTACGATGCAACTCAACATTTGGTAGGGGTAGTGTCCGTCATTCCAAGTTGATATAAACATAAGTATTCATTCCATCGTTCACTGTGTTCGGGAACACGACAATAACAAGCAGTATTCCATTTCAAGGTTGGAGTAGTATATTCTATAGGGTTCGGTCAGCGCTCCAAGAAAATAGGAGTCAAAGATATATTTTTTAATCACATACTATTTTATATTTCAGAACAATAACATGAATAGATTTTGTTGTAAAACTTATTTGTTAGTTGTTTGGAAAATATTTGTATCCGGAGTTTTCGGGAGCAGTGGTTCCAAACTCCTTCACACGAAAGCAATTTCAGTTATTACTGAGATACCCTTGCCTGTGATCTTGCAGTTGTGTCTCAGTGATCTTTTCCCTATTTGGTTTGAACCCATGGCTTTCTTTTCATGTTACACGATTCGACACGGGCAAAACAATGCTCATACTCTGAAATCTTGATTCAGTCTGTCCACAGGACGCTGAATCAGGTCATGGAGCATAATGTTTCCAGTGAGTGTATTACCAACGGCCAGGTAACAGAAAGTATACAGTTGAAAATAGGATAAAAAAGGCTGAAAACAGTCGCGGAAAGACTGTGATACATAAACTATGATATATAAATAATGAAAACTTGTATAGTGACTGATAAAAAAGGGGCAATTTCCGCGGGATTCTGCAATTCTGCGATGAGTTACATTTACTGCAAAATTAATCTTTCCTTCAACAAGGTCTGGGACTGCTATCTGCTCACCTGCTCGACGTCAAACAGCAGCACAGTGCTCATGTAAGTTGGTAAATAACTAAACAGGAGGCTGGCGTTCCAGAAATGGCAGAAGAAAATGACTATAAACGCCCAGACAGGAGGACTGGTCAGAAGGCATCGCCAAGGGATCTCTGCTTTCTGTTGGAATTAAGACAGTGATTATGTACTGAGGAAATGTGTATGTGAGTGCCCTTTACATCGAATTGAGTTTGAGGTGCACGAATATATTAGTTATGTTAACGTTTATTGTTGCGTCATGAATGCAAAATTGACAACTATTCGCAAATATATTTTGTTAAACAAACGCAATGACCTCCTTTTTGTAATCCCAGAAACAAGGCGGGGTATATAGTTTTACAAGGGAATTCCGTTCGTGCTTCCGGGGACACCTTTTGTGCGACCTAATACTTGCATAGATTCTTTTCAAACTGGATCCATACTTTCTATACTAATAGGACAGGTGCTGTGCGAAGTTCAATTTCAATATTGGAACTTAGAAATTATTTCTGCTTCAACATTTGTGCTAACTACAACTTGAAAACAACTGCATGGATTCTTTTCAAATTTAACGAACACTTTCTATACTAATAGGGGAGGTGCAGCGCAAAGTATGCCTTTTAATATGTGTATTTTCTGAAAATTAATGTTGTTTTTTCACGTTTTGAACTCAGAATTTTCTTAGAAGAAATTCATCACGTGTGCGACCTATAACTTGAACGTTACTTCATGGATCCTTTACCACTGGAAGTACAGTTAAGTTGATTTCGAAAAGTGGATTTTCTGAGAACTTATTGTATTTTTCATGTTTTGAACTTAGGAATGTGTTGGAGTAAAGTCTGGAATATTTGTGAGCACTGCTCACCATTTTGCCTTGTTTGTTTGTTTTTTAATGATACACCAGATATATGACGAAAATCAAGTCAGAACAAGACAATCCAGTGATTGATATTATTAGCGACGAGCCACGTACGGATACTATGGAACATCGACCAAATCACCGGGCGTGACCACCTAATCGATTAATCGCCTTTTACGGTGAGGTGAGATGAAATGGGGTTTAACGTCGCGTCCAAGCTTATTGCACTTATATAACGACGTGCATGCACGTGTATGCATGTGTGTGTCTGCTTGTACTAGTCCGGACTGATGTCGATTTATAGTGCTAGCTCACTGAGATACCATGCCGCAGTTTAACATGTATACCCCACTCGGACACAGTATACTGACTCCGAGCCGACCAGTCCTTGTTTTAGCCCCTTAATGCCGAGCGCCAGACAGGGTAACAACAAGTACCATCTTTTAACGTATTGTGGTATGACGCGGTCGGGGATCGAACCCCGGACCTTCCACTCCCCAGGCGGACGCTCTACCATTAGACCACGGAGGCGGTCTTCGCCTTTCACGACCAGCATACGTTGCTTGGGACCAATTCTAAACCGGCAGCCCCACGGGGACACGTAGAAGGACCAACTACGACCACATACTGTTAAAAGTCTCTTCCAGAAGTTGTAATGCTAACTATGTGCTAACTAATTTATTAATCATTTAAGCCACTGCACTTTGCTGTACTCCTGCTGTGAGAATGGGGTAACGGTTAACCTTGCCAGCATCTACACCCTGTCTGTGTCTGGCGATGTGCTGCAACTCCTGTTGTGAGATGGCGGGATGGGACTCCGGTGTTTCGTGAACTGTCAGCAGCCATAGTCCACTCCACAAGACAGCCAAGCATCCTTGGAAATGTAAAAACGATACACTCACTTCCAAAACGATCAGGAAACTTTCCCATTTTGCCATTCTGTAAGTTTACCTTAGTCGTCTTTCTTACCAGCAATTGCATGGCAACAACAACAGCAACTGAAATCCCCCTTCATTGAAATTGTGTCATTTGTCGAGAAACATCTCAAACTGGAACCCCACATCTTCCCGAGGCAAGAGAGTTAACTGTCTTTAAAAGTGGAAACTGGACTTTTATAGTCAGTTAACTCCCTTACGTCGGGAAGATGGGAACCCCACGACGATAACACAGTCCGATTGTTTGAACTATTTCTCAAAAGAATTTAAAGCGCACATGTCATCACTGATTAACTAAAGACATATGAAAAAACAGGGTTTTCTTCAACTACTTTCAAAAAGTATACATGTATATTGCAGATGTGACGATCAACCATACATACACTTTAACTTACCAAAGACATAGAAGATGAAGGGCCAACCGTTATCAATAGGTATTGTGCAGAGATAACCGGAGGCTGCAAATGTGATGATGTTGGCAATGTTGTAGCCTGCGAAAGAGAAGAGCAAACAGTTTACTGTTTACATTTCATGCGTATTTCAAAAGAACGTATTTTATGGTGCACACTTAGAGATAACGAATGGTGAAATAACTAGGTATTTCCATATATGAATACTGGATTTACGCATTCATTACTTTCAAAATGTACCAGGCATGTCAAATGCTCGTTAAGTAATTTCAAAATTAGAAAACGAAAAGAAGTTGGAATACGTTCATAGTGTGAATCTGGTCGTATTTAGTGGTGCTGGTCGTTGTGTTGCACACAACTACCACTTGTACAGATACACAACTGCCTTTATACAGATACACACTTACCTGTGTATACTAGCTGTACAGATGGACAATTGCATGTGAATATACATAAGTTGCTATGTCGACAGACAACTACTTGTTTTGATAAACAACTTCCTTTTCATATGAACAACAATCTGTGTGTTTGAAGGTACGTTGTTGTTGTTATTTGTTGTTTAACGCCGCACTCAGCAATATTCCAGCTATATGACGACGGTCTGTAAATAACCGAGTCTGGACCAGACAATCCAGTGATTGACATCATGAGCATCGAGCACCTGGGCCTGACCTTCCGATCCGTTAGTCGCCTTTTACGACATGTCAAGCATAGTCACCTTTTATGGCAAGTATGGGTTGCTGAAGACCTATTCTACCCCGGATCTTCACGAGTCTTGTAGGAAAGTACTTACCTGCGTAAGTGAAGGCGAGGAGCTGTGGCTTGTCTTGTACAGGGGCCCACTGTGCCCACAGGTCCTGGGTTGCCGGGACGATTAGATTCTGTTAGTGTAACAACAATGAAAGTCGTTAAATGAATTGTACATGACAGAGAGAGAGTGAAAGAGAGAGAGGAGGGGAGGGGGGGGGGGGGGGGGGGGTTGCTGAGACTGAGAGAGAGAGGAGAGGAGAGATAGTGTTTGTGTGCGTGCGTGCGTGCGTGCGTGTTTTACCACAGACTTAAAATGAACAACTCTTGACCAGAGAAAACACTGACTGATGTGATGAGCACGACGTCAGGGTACAATGCCATGCCATCAACGAACATAACCGAGCCTGACAACTCGATGGTTTTAGTCGCTCCTTGGAATTACCATAAGTGTAGCTGGAAGTCCATCAAGCGTGAGCGAGTGGGTGAGTGAGTGAGTGAGTGTCAACTTGATGTCGAAGGAAAGTCCGAAGTGAACCATGTATTAGACGTTTACCACTTTGGTGACACCCGACAGCACGGGAAACCCTAGATACACAATCAGGGCGAACTAGGATTCGAATCTACAATCACTTGTAACGTGACAGCGGAGTTCATCATACCACCAGTAGGCGCTCGAGCAAGATATGGGAGTTTCTGTTCAATGTTGGAGGTCTCGAATTGGAGGTTTCCGTCAACCTGTGTCCAAGAGATACCGGGCAGGAACATTTTCTAACTATTAAAGGACATTATTTTGGCAAAACAGTTGAAAATATAGCTGGTGTTGAATCTCTTTATATTTCTGAATGGCCATGTGCTATCGGAGTGCAGTCATGTCGGTACTGACGAAATGATTTCGTGTCACACTCCACGGAAGTTTCTAAATATGATTGAGTTGTGATTGTCGCTTCTCAAACCCATACACAGACAGGTTACCTGAATGATGCGGGATGTGGAATCCAAGCCAGGTCCGAGAGAGACGCCAAGGAAGGGTAAATACTAAGCAGACCAAACGAGTGATCGCATAGGGATGTTTCCGGTATGTTCAGAATTATAAGGAATGAAATGTAATCTTTAAACGAAAAATTTGATAATTTCCCTCAAGACATAAAGAATGAGCAGAAGCTGATACGAGAAGAAAATAAGAAACTTAAAAGATAAAGTAGACTATCGAGAACTTAAGTTGGACAACGTAGAAGCTCAGAGCAGGAGAAATAATCTGCTGTTTCATGGTCTGTACGGGGCAACGGGAGAACCGTGGGAGGACTCTGAGAAATGTGTAAGGGACTTTATTCGAGATAGGCTATGATTGCAGGGCTGTGATATGTATCCTATTATAGAAAGAGCACACCGTTTGAAAAGTAAAACTGCAATAAAACCTCTCAAAGTAAAGTCCAGTTCTTGTAAGGACAAGTCATGTATGTGTTCTCGATGCTGCAAGGATAAAGTTGAAGGGAGTAAAAAATATTCGACGAACGACTTAACAATGAGAGTTGGGAATTGAATATCCGGAAAGGATTCGTCCCGTTTCTCGTAGATGCAAGATATAAGAAGGAAAGAAAGCGTATTTGTCGGACGATAAACTTGTTCTTTACGACAAAGCTTATGTTTTAGCGAAGGGTGGAGTCAATTTGGAGCAGGTGGGAAACAGGCGTCGTGTTCCGGGATATCCTCCCACAGGCGAGAGGGATCACACGGCGGAGCGGGCCACCCGACCAACGTCACCACGTGACGGGCAGTATGACAGCTGGGACTCGGCCGTGACCAACATGACCATAACCTTAAAGGGAAGTTAGATTCTAATTTAAGCTTTTCTCTCCCCCTGCTCTCCGTTGTCTGTTTAACATCTGTTCTTGGAACATTAACAGGCTGCTCGCAAAAACTAAATTTCCGTCATTCTCACTCTTTTTAGAACAATTTGATATTTTCTTTGTTGCTGAAACAAATCAACAATATATTGAAAAAATTAAATATTTATTTAAAGATTATACATGTTGTGCTTTTCCACCAAAACGAGTTTAACACTAAGGTCGTTTTTCGGGGGGAGTCGCGCAAGACCCATGTCCAGTACATGACAAGAAATCCACAGTGACGGGGATAACTGTGTGTTTGTGAGACGTCATCCTGGCGACAAGAACACATTAATTACAATGAAAGTTCCCAGATATGTGTGGTCCGAGGATGGATATAAGTCCGATGTAGACAATATCTCTCCTACCCCAGCAAAAGCAATCATTAACAGCTTTCTTGATTGCGTTCACGTAAATGTAAACGAGGCTGTTGACAAACTGTGGACTTTATATTAGATTATTGGTGCGCACTTGGAAAAGACGCCGACTAATTTTAAGGCTGCAAATAAACAACCTGGGTGGTTTGATGAGGAATGTTCGTCAAAAAACGAATTAAATATGATTACATATTCTTCGAAAATCAAAAGCGAAAACAAAACTAGAAGTGTATTCAGGGTCCAAACGAGATTTTAAAAAGACATGTAAGGACAAGGAGATTACTGATAATAAAGAAACGACAGATCGCATAAACTCGGCAGTTGGTGATAGAAATTGTCTGATATTTTGGCAATTAAGGTGATGGGGAAAGTTTGTCCCCACTTACATGGTATACATATTTTAAAGATCTCTTAAATCCCAAAACGTCGGTGCAAACTGCTTTTGACAACGCGGTATCCGAGTTTGTAAACGAACATTATCGTTTGAATTGTGAAGATTACAATAATGCTGATATCCTATCGCATTTTACATCGGAAGATGAGTGAGTGAGTGAGTATGGTTTTACGCCGCTTTTAGCAATATTCCAGCAATATCACGGCGGGGGACACCAGAAATGGGCTTCACACATTGTACCCATGTCGGGAATCGAACCCGGGTCTTCGGCGTGACGAGCGAACGCTTTAACCACTAGGCTACCCGATCGCCCACATCGGGAGATGAAGTAAGACGGGCCGTTAAATCATTAAAACCGGGTAGAGCTAAAGGATGTGATGGTTTGCCACTTGAGTTTTATAAGAAAGCTTTGCACATCGTTCAATATAAACATCTTTTGTTTAATTCTATTTTGGATACTGTAATGTTCCCCAATTCATGGAATGTAGGAATAATATCGCCGCTTTTTAAGAAGGGATAAACGTCTGATCCTAATAATTACAGGGGCATTTCACTGCTAAATGTAATGAGGAAATTGTTTACATCCATTATTGAAAGTAGGTTACGTCAATGTTGGAAGTAAATGAAGTTTTAACAGAATTCCAAGCTGGTTTCAGACACGATCATTCGACTAGCGACAATATCTTTGTTCTACAGTCTTTAGAGCAAAAATATCTTCGAAAACCAAAGTATCGTTTTTATGCCGTATTTATTGACTTCTGGAAAGCGATTTGGTTGATAAAACTAAATTATTACATCTGCTTTTACAGTTAAGCATATATGGCAAAATGTTTAAAGTGTTAAAGAATATGCATGAATATGTTTTTGCTTGACGCATTTCAGACCTCCAGTGTTTAGCCCTCTGTTATTTATATTTTTTATAAACCAACTTACTACAGATTTAGGTAAGAGTGAAACAAAAGGTATTTTTTGTGAATGAGTTGATTGATGAAATCAAATTGTTGCTGTTTGCGGGGTTACAGAGAAAAATAGCTAATTTGGAATCTTTTTGTGATAACTCGGGGTCTGGAAGTCAATATGGATAAATCAAATATAACTGTTTTCAGAAATGATGGTGTTGTTAAACGAGTTGAAAAACGGTACAGTATACTATAAAAATACAAAAATGAGAATAGTAACATATTATAAATACTTGGGCAGCGTCTTTTCATCAAGTCTTCTTTGGTCTAGGGCCTGTCAAACTCTAGTGACACAGGCCAAGAAAGCTTGTTTTCCTATTTATAATTTGAACAAGCTTTAACCGTATCGGTCATTTAAGATAATTGTTTCTATATTCGATGGCAAAATAGCTCCGATTGCTTATTTTGGAAGTGAAATTTGGGGGTTTACATTCAGAGATATTTGTCAATCAGTAATAAATCATCATCTAATGTGGTTCTTGGTGAAGTTGGCCGTTTTCATCTAAGTGTTATTTATTTCAGCATATGTATAAGATTGTGGTGTAGATTGATACGCATGAATTCTAATAGACTTCCAGATTGGTGTTTTAAAATGCTGAAAGTACAAGATGATAAAGGTAGTGTTAATTGGGAATCTCATGTGAGAATGCTTTTGTTTAAATCTGGTAATATGTGGACATATACATTGTTTTATGGAATTATTCAAGAGAAGATGTATTGTTGTACAACACTGTAGTCAAAAGATTAAAAATTCTGTGTTCTTAAACCATTATGCGTCATATAAATTTCGATTGGAAACTGAACGCTAAATAACCTCATGCTATGATAAGGATCTTGTAAGTATCTTGACGACATTTCGCTGACACGCCGTGATATAACTGAAATAATATTAAAAGCGGCGTTAAACCCAACTCACTCACTCACTCACTCACTCACTCACTCATAGGTTTCGGTCATACCTAAAGGACGCAACTATGCACAGCGAATTGCGATGCCTTAGATGACTGGGCCATCCATGCTACCGTCCGTCAAGAGACTGCTCGTTCACGCCAGAAACCTATGATCGGTTATGTCTGTCAGCGCCATACCCATTGCATTGGTTTCACGAAAGTGGTAAACGCCTGAGACCAACATCGCTTCCTCCCTCATTCAGCCTACATACCGTGATATAACATGAAAACTGTTGCGTTACACGCAACTCACTCACTCACCAAAAAGAAGCCCATTAGAAGTCTCAAAACGACCACTGCATAGACGCTGGCGCGGGCCGCCGTTGGTATCAACAATGACGACAATCCCCCAACAAACAGGCCGATGAAGATGACGTTCTTGGGCCCGAACCTTCTGGAGAGGGCGCTGCCGATGATGGGGGAGACGATGCCGGTGTAGAAGGCGGACGAGAGAATCAGACCCTGAGTCTCGCTGTCCCAGTCGAACTCAGGTTTCTAAGAGTGAGAATTTTTATCAATTCCATATGTAAGTGGGAGTTTGGACCCGGTTCTTTGGTGTGGCGAAGAAACGCTTTAAACACTAGACTATTCGATCTCAATTATCCAAGTCCTTGCATATATTCTAACACAACACGAATGAACAGAGTTTTTTAAAAATACTAATGTCAGAAAATGAACACGGAATACGATGATTTACGCTAGTTCCGGAATTGACGTCTTTTGCGTGATACATGACTTTGTTGGATTTCAAGCGCCGTATTTCGCTTTGCATAGTTGCGTCTCTTAGCTGTTCCAGAAAACTATGATCGTTTCTTTGAATTCCAGATTTGCTCTGATTTTTTTTCTGTTTGTCAAAACCATTTCACGAAGAAGTTTGCACGCCGTGAAATAACTAAAATATCGTTCAAAACGGTGTTAAACCAACTAACTCAGTCACCTACAATAACTACCTGGAATATGGTCCCATTTCCTGCCTCGTTGAAGTCAGGATACTTGTAATCTGAACCATTAGTCCAAATCATGCTGGAGTTTGTCGCATATGTGGAGTTATCCCCCTTGGTGGTGGGATGACCCGCGTTACCCCTGGTCATGCAAACGAGGGCAAAGGCCATTCCATTTTGAACAGTCAGCTGTAACGCGAAGGCAACGAGCAAGATGTAGCAAAGCCGGAACCGACACGACGTGTACTTCTCCATCGCAGTTGGGTACGTAGCGTATGTGTTGTCGTCGTGGATGGACGTCGCATGATCGTTGATGTTCGGGGATTTACCATTGTTGGTGATGATTACGTTGCCATAGTTACTCAATGCTGTTTTGTGAGAGTTGTTTGCTGCAGATAAAGACGTACATGTACACGTATACAATAATCGCTGAGGATAGCTAATGTAACGAGGCACCGGATGTCAATGGTACACTCTGCGCAAACGCACACGCAGACGCAGGCATACACACACTATTATTTCGCGACTGGCCTCATGATGATCCACCGTTTCCTGTGGTCCTGGCCCGTCCTTTCACACAGCGATCTTTGCGCTTTAACAATCGTACGTCTATGTTACTGGGGTTTTGTATCGAGACCAGATATTGTTTCAGCTACGGCTACAAAACCAGTTATTTATTTATTAAGAACTATTAGCCTAATTTTCTTGAAAACAAACAACCTTGCAACAAAGTTATTACTGTGATAGGCAATTATTTTTCAACAGTCTGATGCAAAATTATTTTATTAAAGAATTTTTATGGACAATTATTTGTTTTCATAAAATCCCAGCTCCCACATTCCCCGTTTAATACTGGTTAATACTGGTCAAATATCACACAACTACCGCAAACACACATTTAGAATAATCACTGGACAAGTAAGATGCGGAAACAGCTGAATAAACACCCTAATGGTGATGATGCCATTTATAGTGAATGCAAAAGCTGTTTATAGGCTGAGTTGAATCACTGCAATAAAAATCATTAACAAATCATCAACAAATTAATCACGTAAGGGTGTCATTGTCATGTCGTGTCTTCAAGGTGATGCACTGGCGCCGAGCCACCAACACCCTCCGCGAAGCTCCGGGTTAAAACTGGTCTTCAACCTATTCTTGTCGTAAGGGGTGACTGACAGGATCCGGTTGTCTGCCTCGCTGACTTAGTTGATGCATGTCATCGAATCTTTATTGAGTAGGTCGGTCCATTACTGTATTGTATAGCCCGGAACCGATTATTTACAGATCACCGTCAAGAAGATGAGATATTGCCGAGTGCGGCTCACCAATCAACAATCCGAAGATAAAAAAAAGTATAAAAACATACTCACATTTTGCGTCTTCTGAGTATTGCGCAGCCATTATGCCACGTATGTACAATATCAGCGCTCCGTTTTAGGTATTCGTGCCAGATCTTCCCTGTTAGAGAACCGTGCTCATGCATCATGACGAGGTCATGCATTTGCAACACTCCACAGGATACAGCATGACTTTGCATTTTCCGCATTTACTTTTGGGCACAAACAAGCACGGATACAGTCTTTTGAAAAAGGGTCACATTTTGTGGTCAAGAGTTAATAAAAAAGGGTTGTGTAAATTCAAATAACTAGTGACCGATATGAGTTATGCCGCCTTGGTGCAAAATGCCGGCAAAAGGAAAGTGTACACTTGAATATTGGATTTGACCAAAACATTACAAACGTTATCAAAACGTTACTTGGCAAAGACTGTCGCCCGTACAAAATACAACAACATCGAATAACCATTTCTTGTTTGTTTCAAATGTTAAATGTTTTTGTTACATCGGAGAAATTTACTTACCTATAATCAGGAGACGTGTATAAAATCTTCTATTGTATAAATGTATAGCATGCTTATCATGTATTGGGTGGGGTGGGGATACGCCCTTCTGCACCCTCCTCTCTGGAACCATGTAACATTACAGGGAGGAAAACAGGACCAGTCATTTACCTGTTTGTGAAATACATAAGCACGTGCAGGTTTGAAAAAGCCTTGTCACACTGCTGGTAGTACTGAAGAGTAGGTGAGGTGAAATGGGGTTTAACTTCGCGTCCAAGATTATATAGCGACGTGCGCGTGCATCATTTTTGCAGATATATCAAGGAAACATCACACGCATCCTTGATTATTCCAGGTATCAAAACTTTACCGTGTTCTCTCATGGATGTCCCAGTGTAAGGATATCTGACTTGTGATGGTCTGAAATCAGTTTGTAATGACACCTTGTAAGCCATAAAACTCTGTGTGTGTGTGTGTGTGTGTGTGTGTGTGTGTGTGTGTGTGTGGTGATCTATTGATCCATGGTTCATTGTGCAGATCAGTGCCCTTCAGGATGATTGTGAGTTTGTAGCCGTGACTCAACCATATGTTTATTGGTCATTTCACTTCAGAGGCAACCTAATTAACCTCCAGTGTCCATGGTGTAGTGGACAGAGCATCTGCCCAAAGAGCAGAATGTCGCTGGTTCGATCCCCTGTCCGTATCACACATTAACTTGTTGATACCCTGCCTGGCGCTCAGCATTAGAGGGATAAAACACACACACGCAGTCTGGGAGCCTCTTCCGACCCTTTCTCAAGAGTCGTTTGATCAGGGAAACATTCAGTAAAGCTAGCTGTAGACATGTGGAAGAAATCTTCAAATTTGAGACATAAGTGACGAAAGGGATCTCTAATCGAATTGCCTGTTTTGACTTGTTCGGAATGTTCCTGTTCAGGTGAATAATTAACTTGCCTTTACATGTGTTTGTGATGGCTACAACTTAGGGGGCAGATATAGTCACATTTTCGTGAACACCTAGTATTATCTCAATTTGATAGTGATTCATAAACACATGCTTATGAGAATCGTGCAATGGATTATGGAAATGGTTATTGTCGCTTTTATTAGAATATGTCCCAAGTTAAGTGACTTGTCTGCTTGCATGTCATCGTACGTTGATCTCATTACTGAAAGCAGCGATAATTATCAAGCTAACGATCACCTTGGGTCCATAATTTCTAGGTTGATGTTGGTGATGTCTGTTGCCGTAAGATGACACTCTCACCCCAACTGTATTATTAGCCCAATGGTCTCGGTTGTCGCTGGTTGCTTGCCATTTGTTCGAATCCCGCTTGGAATAAGCAAGTGAGCAATAACCTGAAGTTGGTTTAGTGGACCTGTGTTACTCTCCGGCCTTTCTCATTATGACGTCCTGACATGCATGAAATACAGCCAACAGCGAGGTCCTAGGATCCTCAGACCAAAACAATCAATCATATTATCGGTATCTGCTTTGTGTTTAGTCAAGGCAGTATATTTGTGAACATGGAGACAGTGATGTCTCACCCTGGGTATGTTGTAAACGTGAAGATGTTGTTGTTGTACTTTACATGCAAGATGTGCTTTTTTAGATTAAATATTACAACATTTAAGAATCTGTTCGTTCTCAAAGTCTTTGTATAGTCTCCCTGGTTTCTCTAACATCGTCAGAACTTCATGGCCAATGTGTGGTGTAGTGACAAAGTGTTTCTGTTTTAAGTCAAGTTGTGACATGAGGCCTTCAGTAACTTACAGTCAGTGCGTGGATTTTGTGTATGATTTTTGCCTTTTTGTTTTGTTGTTTAACGGGACACTCAGCAATATTCCAGCTATAGGACGGCGGATAATAAGTACTCAGTAGAAATAGTGCCGCATGAGACATGCCATCTGAGGGTTCATTGGTCAGAGCGACCCCTGGAGATTGCTACTATCTTTCCTATTTTGAACCGACCAGTGTGTGAAGAAGCATCATGTTGCAGGAGAAATGACACGGCTTGTGCCATGTAATCTGCTGCTTTGGCTTTCCATCAACATAAGCTGGCACGTCTTAGCTTCTTAAGCCGTTTAAATTCCGGAGCAGTCGTGCACGAGTATGAGACTGGTCATTTATTACAGAGGACAGAGGGTGGGGGGTGGGGGGTGGGGGGTGGAAGAGATACTGGTCTCATTACAATTTTGCTGCCCCCCTAATTTCATGTAATAGTTTTTCAAGCCCCTTTCAATCTCATCAAAATCAGATTTTACTCTCACACGATAACTCTCTTCGTTCTGATCGGAAGACTCCTCCATGGAAGGTCACGTCAGGTAAACCTCGAGTGAACGTTGATCGCCCAATGAAGAAAATGAAGTATTACAATCTGCGCAAAGGAAAACCACCACAGAACAAAACCCTCGATACCACCTTTTTTAGCTATATGCCATAGAGCTCAGAATCGACAGGATGTATAATATCTCAAACAGTGCGTCTTTATATTTTTGAATTCGGAACTCCTCGATTATGTTCGTTGTAGCGATAGAGACATCATATATGCTTGTCTGAATGCTTCGTTCACGCGTACCGAGAATTTTGAAACCTCTACGCTGATTAGGTGATCAAAAGGTTCACCTGTCGCCGGCGACCTCCTATGCCATGGCAGCGTCCTCATAATTTCACGCAGAGGTATCGCATGGAGTCAAATTAAAGATCTTTATGTGGTTGACATTCGACACCTATGTTCGCCATCTCCCAAGAATATATTCGGCTTTTCCCGGAAAGACACCAGTTAATCTCGAATGGCTGTTGACCATGGCACAGTCAAATGACGCAGTTGCATTGTCTTCTAGTTCTTATCCGTAATCTGGAATGTGCCAAGGTTTATCGAACTTGTAGCACAGTTGATAAACTTAAATAAAGTGTAAGACATTTTTGCTGAACAAATTTTTATTATTCATTTATATTATGTACATCTTGAAAGATGATACATTCTGACAGTGACTTGAGAAAGACAGGTCCTACTGTATCTCTTCATGATCAGATGTTCTGAAATAAAAAAAAGATATACACGTTTGTGTACATGCTGAGGAATTCAATATTCATCAAAGATGTTTTTTTAGGTAAACATCGCAATTGTATCACATTTATGATAATAATCAAAGATAAATACTTTAATGTCTTATGACTCCGGAGGTATCGTCATCTTTAAGCAAATATAATTAAAGTCCGCATGAGTGTCATTACGTGCAGTAGAATCATAAAGTTATATACTGATTGAAGAAAGAAAAGCAACACAGCAATTTTACCAGACAATGTTCACAACTTTGTCATTGAGTGAAAAATTATTATTTTATTGAGTGATTATACGTACGGTATCACATAGAGCAGTATGGCGGAATGTCGAACACAGAGAAGTCCCAGATGCCCGGAACCACGTCGTTGTACCCGACAACTTTAAGAGCGTTTCCTCCTGGACAGTTAGTGTATATGTCACAGTCAATATATTTGCTTTCATGTTATTCTACGCCACAGTCAGCAATATATATCACAGCGGCCTGTAAATAATTGACACTGGGCTAGGAAAACCAGTGGTTGTTCTCACGCCATCAGATGTCTTTGTTTATAAATCTAGGTGATTTTATCTACTTCTAAGTAATTTCGAATGTGGGAATTGTTTTATAATGTGCGAAGTAAATTTCACAACATTTTTCAAATTTGAAAAACAAATCAAACACCAACCAAAAACACAGGTTTCCGGTTGTTTACTTTGTTTCTTTCAAATGTAGAAACATAAAGACTTTTAATTTCCCTTCGACATAAATCTTACGAGCCGTGGAATAAGTGTTCGAAGTCAGTCTCTGCGTGAAGATCTGACAATCGCTGTAAATGAAAGATGCGTGGGTTCTTGAGCAAATCAGATGTCATCTTTCTAAAACGATTCGGTTTCGCTTTACCGTCTCGATTCAAAATTTCAATTTTAACAAACGAAATCCCAAAGAAATCCACTCAGAAAAGCCAGGGTGTATCAAATATCCCACAACGATTAAATGGTGCGGCCTTTAATATCTTCATTCGGACATGGTCGTTTAACTTCGTTGTCGAGATGAAGAAATCATATATGTTGGTTTGAATGATTGGCTCGTTAGAATACTCACCTTCACGCAGAAAGGTATTGTATGGGAGTAAAAGATCGTATTTCAATGACATTGGTTGAACGCGGATTTAAAATTCTGTCCGTAATAAGCTGTGATGTCGTGGTATAACCGAAATACAGTTCAAGGTGAGATTGAACCCAACCCACTCACATTTCAAGCATTAAACTGACATGCCCTGACATAGATGTTCAAAGCGGAGAAAAAGCCAACACATTCACTCATGCTTTCCACATTTAGCTGACAGGGCGTTCTGTCAGAGAAATACTCAAGATGGCGTTAACCATCTCACTCATTTGAAATCATTTGGCTGACACTTGATGTTATTACTAATACACTGTTCAAAGCGGTGTTAATGCCCACTCACTCACACATTCTTTCACTCACAAATACAAACCTTGGCCGCCGGTCGTGGTCGTGGTGATGACGATTGGTACACAGTCTTTCCGTGTGACGGTAGCCACGACTTTCTGATGTTCCCCGTTGACGGCGGTGCTATTGTAAGAGTATACCTTTGAAGACAGCCTGCCAACATCGTAGCCGTAAAAGAAAGGGCCCAAGGAGACGGCACCGCCTGTGATTACACAAAGTGTTAAGATAGGAACAGACCATTTGATGATACGGGTGGGGAAAGTGGATGTAAACACATGCAATGGACTGACATCTGACAACAGACCAACATATCTAAACATGTTTGAAATACTTGTGGTAGTGAGGGAGGGGCATCTAGAACCCGTGAGTAGTCACAAATTGGTCGGCAATGTTCCTGCAGTAGTTGATAACGTGATGACACACAATCAGTATGTCTATAAATAACGTCCACCAACCATCTCAAGTCGACTCTTGGGACATGCAAAGGGTATCGGGAGCCTACACTGTCCGAATCCACACCGAGTTCTCTAAAGAAAAAAACATACGAACATTTTTTTATATATTTTGAAATGACTTACCTGGAACACAAACACTCTCCTGGTCCTTGAACTGTCCCTGAAGGCGGAATGCTGAACACGTTCGTGCCACTGTGTCTATACGGAAACCAGTTCTCTGCAAACAAAAATCATTATTACCTTATTACGAATTTTGTGAAAATGCAAGGCAAACTACAAAGTGGGCAAGGGCCCAACATAGGTCCAAGTCCTTCTGATGTTCAGAAGTTAAATAAGACGCATACTGAAACAAGTCTTTGTGTCATATACCCATGCTGATAATTATTGACACCCCTGATCTGAGACGCATGTATCTGGGAGGTGACAATATTTATTATACGTAAATGGTAGTGTAACCTCACCTATTAATATGGCGCTATGATAAGTCCAAACATGAACTGATAAATGTATAATATTTGTTTTAACCCAATACATTTGATTACTGAGTTTTGCCCATTTCTAATTTTGTGGAGATGTGGCCTAATCATACTTGGTCATATGTGCTTTTATGAATGCTTCCAGTGATATCAAGGTACTGGATATTTATTATGTATCCGTGTAACGGTGTAACATGAATAAATGTTTCGGATATAAGAAGGGAACAAAATTAAGGCACAAAACACACTGAAAAGGTATCGCTTACCTTCTTGTGGTGGTAAAGTTCTCTGGTGGTATCGCATACTTTCTTGTAGTGGTAGAGTTCTCTGGAGGTATCGCATACTTTCTTGTAGTGGTAGAGTTCTCTGGAGGTCTCGCTTACCTTCTTGTAGTGGTAAGGTTCTCTGGAGGTCTCGCTTACCTTCTTGTAGTGGTAAGGTTCTGTGGAGGTATCGCTTACCTTCTTGTAGTGGTAAGGTTCTGTGGAGGTATCGCTTACCTTCTTGTAGTGGTAAAGTTCTCTGGAGGTATCGCTTACCTTCTTGTAGTGGTAAAGTTCTCTGGAGGTATCGCTTACCTTCTTGTAGTGGTAAAGTTCTCTGGAGGTATCGCTTACCTTCTTGTTTTGGTAAAGTTCTTTGGAGGTCTCGCTTACCTTCTTGTAGTGGTAAGGTTCTCTGGAGGTATCGCTTACCTTCTTGTAGTGGTAAAGTTCTCTGGAGGTCTCGCTCACCTTCTTGTGGTGATAAAGCTCTCTAGGGGTCTCGCTTACCGTCTTGTAGTGGTAACGCTCTCTGGAGGTCACGTTTACCATCTTGTAGTGGTAACACTGGGGGTCTCTCTTACCTTCGGGTAATCATAGATTACTTTGGTGGTCGTGACGAATCCGTTGCTGAGGTCACCGCTGATGACGTATCTTTGGTTGATGCCGTCGTAGATGAATGAATACAAAGCCTGAAAATATACAATAATTCCACTAGGAGTCATTTTGCATTGTTAATTTAGGAAGATCTGAATAAAGGCAATATTTCCTAAATCTCAATTTAAGCGAGGCAAATATGTGAAAATAATTGCAAAATCTAGGTCCAAAAACTATAATATACAGTCGTTACCATTCTGACAAATGCACCTTTAGCTGAGATTATGCATGCCAAGATATCTGAAAGTTAGTTCTGGTTTTGAAAACACGCCTAATTCAACAAAATTTCAAACCAGTCCCCTGCCTCCACCAAGCCACCTTCCAGAGGCAAGCGTGTCCACAAGCCCATATCATAGCCTTGTTTCTTCCCTTACCACATCCCGAGTTGTGCATCTTTTAAGGAAAACGCGATATCCAATCAGATCGCTGTTATTATCTGGTATGGCTTCATAAAGATGCATTCGTTACCAACTCCTGTTATTCCGGGACAAGCCGAATAGCGACTCGTGCCCCTCTCATGGCCATTTTTGCGACCGGGTTCCGTCTTAGCGCAAACGGGCACACCTAAAACAATTGTCAACTCGTTGCGTAATGGTTCACATATTTTCCCCCATATGTTATATATATTTCAGATGCAATTTAAAGCACGTCGGGACATGCGGAATTATACAGTATGATTGAACACATTTAACTGTGTCTTGGGTATATTTTTAGATGCAAGACATATGTAAAATCAAAAATTATTTCTGAGGGATTCTTTGACGAAGAACTTGAAATCATACGCGCATTCTGATTGATTGGTCGTATTTTCGCACATAACATTCGAAAATACGACAAACCAATCAGAATGCGCGAATAATTTTTGATTTTACATATGTCTTGCGTTTAAATATATACCTAAGATACAGGTAAATGTGTTCAATCATACTGAATAATACTGTAAGTTCCTATGTATTTTCAATAGCATCTGGAAAAGGTATGATATATGTGAGAAATATATGTGAATCATTACGCAACGAGTTGACCATTCTTTTAGCTCTGTCAGTTTGCGCTGACCTTGACCTTCACGTGCTTTTATTCATAGTTGGAAACATAGGGTCTCGCACTGTGATACTGACCATTTGATATTTGGGGGATATTTAAAAATTAAAATAAAATGTTTCTGATAAAACTGGAACTACATACTTTGCCCTCAGGTTTGCCTAAATTGTTCTGCTCCTCCTTCCCAGTAAAATCAGTTGCATGTTTTGAAGCCGTGACTAAAATAATATACTACTCGAAAGAAGTTGACTCATAATTGTTTCATATTACTTCAGTTAATGTGTCATTGCATGACACATTAACAATAGGTTATTTCTTAATTGGAGATGTGATATATACCACAGACCTTTTGAGTAGTTTATATCCTATCTCTAATTTAGAAACACCCTTCCTCACCCCAACCCCATACCAAATAATATATGTTGAGTCACTTACAAACACGTCATACCAACCCGATGGGTTGGCTCAGTTAAAAAACAAGCATTTCTGTGAATGAAGGTTAAGCAAAACCTCACCAGTTCAATTCCCTACCTTAATTATTTGGATATAATTTACCAAATGTTATTTGCCTTAATCTGCAACTCACGGTAGGCACCTACATGGACATTCTTTGCCTGTGAGGGAGTGGCCTAGGCTGTGTGGAGTCACAGTGGAGGCAAATAAAAAGGCTCTCTGCCAGGGAAGTTGGGCTAATTGTAAGAAAAGCACATGGAACAGACAGCTTACTTTGCTTCTTCACTGTATATATGGAGCAAACTGAGTGATCAGAGAAAAAAATAACATAAGAAATGTAACTCTCATACACTTACTAGATGTTGCCTGTTCAGGTAAGGTAAATACATGTACCGGTACATGAGCATTTTTTTTGGAAATATCCCTGAAAATAGTTTCGTGTCACTTTCTTCAATGAGGAATGGCAATCGGCTTGTTCCGGAATGACGGAATTATAATTGAGGAATCTGATTTAATTTTACAAATAATAATAAAGTATGTTCATATAACAGGGTCGTAACGTTATGTCGCTGTTTTATTACAGCCAAGGCATACATGATAAATCTTGTCATTCCGGGACAAACCGAAAGCATTCCCTTGAAGTTGCGGAAAGGGGAGAGTGATTACATATAATGAGAGGCGTTGTACTTACATCCTCAGCAAACGTGGAGTTGACAATGGTGACAGATTGCACCGCACTGAATCTCACTGGAGGACAACAGGTGCTGGCACTGGCTGTCACAGAAAGACCAGCGAAGAGTAAGGCTGCTTGCAGGATCATTTTGGTGGGGAATCGTTGGGGATATCTGCGCCAAGTCCTTGATGTACGAACGGTACTCGAAGGTGTTTCGCTTTTATCCACCCAGAGGAGCATCACGTGATGCAGAATTACAGCTCAGATGACATGTTAATTCGTCATGTAAATTCCCAGTTTATGTAAGTTGTAATAAACAAGCAATTTACATATATTGCCGAACAAGGACCGTTTTGCAATCAAAGCATATATGAATAATAATCTGTCTACTTGGACTTCGGTTGAAGAGGGTTCAAAATATGAAACTCGTCGAAAGACGTCCTTGATACCATTTCCTTACCTTCAAATAACCTCAAGCGAATTGACAAGTGCAGAAAGGTTTCATATAGAAAGGATAAAGGGCTTGAATAAGAGAGAGAGAGAGATTACGATATTTTAACGTACTATTACAGTTTGTACACAGAAACATTTGGGATCTCTTAAAAGATCCCCAGAAGGAAAAAAAATAATTCTATTATATACTTTTCAACACCCATTACAGTTTGAAACCACAATAAAAAAAATTTAAAAAGAGAAATTTAATATCTTTTCATGCCAATTCAGCAACTCTTTACATCACTGTGAAAACGTGCTCAAAAAAGCTTTAACATTACCACAGCCCTGAGTGATCCAGACATATGATAAACCACTTACAAATATTAACTTACGAATGTGAGAGATCCAATTTATTTAATAATATCATCAAAAATCCACAACAGATCACAGCAAGCCCTTGGGTACCTGGAACTTTCCATACGAAGAAGTCTGCATCAATAACCTTTTCATCGACTATGATAATGAACACACATATAACTTCTGCCTACTTCAATTAAGACCCGTGAAAATCCGGGTTAGAATAGGTCTTCTGCAACCTATGCTTGCCGTAAAAGGCGACTATGCTTGTCGTAAGAGGCGACTAACGGGATCGGGTGGTCAGACTCACTGACGTGGTTGATGCATGTCATCGTATCCCAATTGCGTGGATAATACATACTCATGATATCAATCACTGGATTGTCTGGTCCAAACTCGATTATTTACAGACCACCGTCATATAGCTGGGATATTGCTGAGTGCGGTGTTTAACAACAAACAAACAAAAGCACGAAACGAATCTGCTGACCGAGTGAATTCCCCGAATGTTCCAACTGCAGATACTCACACTACTGTTAGGCTGATCACTTGCACTGACCGAGTAGTGAGTGATAATTGTTTATTTGTCTTGAGACGGCATATACATATAAAACATACAAGACATAAACATAATGCCAACTGCCAGCCTTCTTGGGCTTATAAGACATGAACATTAAAATACAAATCGTAAGACATGGGAAAAAAAAAAAAAAAAAATGATAACAACACAATACATACTAAAAAGACACACACGCATACACACTCACGCATACACACTCACACAAACACACCAACACACACGCGCACGCACAAAGAGCATACACAGGCACATACCAAATGCACAAACAGATGTGCGTAATAAAATGCAAGCGTGCGCTCACGTGGTATCGTACATATCATTATACAAGCTCATGCACGCATTTACATACAAAACAAATTCTCTGCGGGCAATCATTTTTACACACATTTTGCCAAGGGTAGGAATGAGGCTGTCATCTTGAAGCAGACTTGGTAGGTCGCACTGGTCACGGAGTTCTGGGAAGAGACTGGGCAAAAATTGGTTTCTGGTGTCATCATAAATATGACAGTATATAAGGAAATGACTTTCATCTTGGACATGAGTCGCGACAGAGTTTACAGTATCGTTGTGCTGCAGGGGTCGGCGGGTTAGCGTATCTTGCAGTTTCTATTTCTAGTCTCAAAGATCCACATCGGAGCGACGCAAGGATAGATCTTTGGTTGCGGGGTAGCTGTAGGTAACTTTCTGTACATAGTTTCGATTTGAACTGGCGGTAGGTTCTCAGTTTAGGTAACGCATGTACACCCGAGGCCCAGTTAGTTTTATCTAATGAAAAGAGTTGTACCCTAAGTTCAAGTAGTAACAGATTTTTCCGTGTCGTTTATCACATTAGATAAACCATAGTCGCTAAATATTCGCTGTATCTTCTTTTCCCACGATTTTCCACAGGAGAGTGACCACTGGTGCACTTTAAACAACAGACAGTGACGAGACGTTTGCTGAAGCCGACACCTTAGGAGTAGTTATTGTCTCATGCATCGTACCTGGGATGTTTTCATTAGATCTACGCCCCTAACTTGTCGTCTTGTCATCGCGCTTACCCTGGGTCGATTTTTTTATCTGAACACTATCCCTCCTGGGATAGTCCTGGGGTAAACTTCGTCTTACATAAGTTCAGGGACTACACAGGCGCACACCAAGATTGTTTTTTTTATGCTGTCGGTATCAAGCCACTACAGTATTACATAGATAGAAGAGCGCTCTACTTCTCAGCAATGTAATGCACAGTATAACTGTGTTTTAAAGTAATGTTTCTAGTTCGCCTGGGTCAATTTATGTGTACAGACAGTTTTACATGCAATGTATGGATTAGAAAATCTCCGATATATCATATGCTACAACTTCTACAGAAGTATAACGTAAATGCTGGTCCAAGGCCGTGAATGATGCTATTAAATCTCATCGAGATGGTGTATTTTGTGTCCATCTTAATTCAAGACGTTGTCTGTTAAGACATTTTCGTATAAAATCAATAATGAACACTAGCCGGGGAGTGAGTGAGTGAGGTTTCACGCCGCTATTAACAGTATTCCAGTTATATCGCGGCGTGGCAGCTTAATGTTGGAGGAAAGCCCGAAGTGATGCAGGTCTCAGACGTTCATCACTTCGCTGAAACCCACGAGCACGGGTATGGTGCTGACAAAACTAGAAACATAATCGGGGCGAACCGGGATTCGAACCCACAATCATAGGTTTCAGGCGTGCCCAAGGGACGCAAATCTGCATAGCTAATCGATCGCGGCGCCTTAGACGACTGGGCCACACCCACCCTCCCTTCTTCCCCCACCCTCCCTCCCCCCTTTCCCAATTAATGTTTCCCGGACTGCACTCTCTATTGTTCTCCAAGAGATGGGATTTCGATGCGGCACAACACGGTAACGTTGTCTTACGTACGCCAGTACATTGTGACCTCAGCCCTGTTGTGCCCATCTTGGCTAAATGTAACGGGTTCGTAGCAAGACATAACACAACATTTAAAAGGACAGATACATTTTCGTCATCAGATTCCTCAAGAAATCATCTGTAGAACAACAAATACTTCTGGATTCAAAAGCGCAACCTTCCAATACTCATCCCGTTTCATACCTCTTAACTAGTCCATCATGTTTCTAAGCAAATCTTATGCAGTACATATCCTAAATTGCTAACTCCATCAACGCATGTCAATCATGTACAATAACAGCAATATTTTGAGACCACCCCAACTCGGTTCTATTTGCACCTGAGAGAATGCACGGGGTGGTGTGAGGTCATCACGCCAGGACAGGTGTAAGGTAATTACCTCAGGTGAAAGGCCATGCATACATTAGACAGTACTTTAGCAACATGCAGTCCCTCTTTATCTTTTAGTTTCTCTTTTGCAGCTTCCAGCAGTGAGTTTGTCCTTATAGAAACAGAACTAAACGAGTATAGGTTTTACCCTATTTCTCGATTAAAGGCTGTGAGCACGTTCGATCTCCATCAATCCCATGTATGACAAGGTTGTTCCTAAGACTTTGAGCTTTTTGGTTGTCTGAGACGGTTTCAAGTTTATTCGGCTGTGCTTTTACCTCTTTATTTTCACCTTTCAAAACTTCATAATCATGAGTTCTCCTTATTCTCATCAGAGTCACAGTACTCTGGTTCACGGGTGAACCGAAGCTTCGACTGTCTCGTTAAACTGCAAGCACCTTGTGACGTGGTTCCCGTACCTCTGGTTCTCGGAGCGGGGTTCAGCTTTATGTAACCACACAACTTCAGTGTCCCGGAAATGAAGACCGCCATACACATACACCACCCTGATTGCTATATGAACATTGCAATACATATGTGTCAGTCAAACTTCGTTAGGTTATAATATCATATAGAACATCATTTCGTTTTTGTTGATATCCTGATAAAATTGTCATTTTTGAAAATTCTAGTTCTAATCCAGATTATGCAAGGTTGTTCCAGACATGTTTTACAATTCACATCAAATACATCAAAGAACATGTGCATTGTTTAATTGGTTTACTCGTTTACAAAACAATGCAAAGAAATGATTATTTATATCCCATTGTGTACATTATCCCGTTTGTTGGTATAATTCTATGTATAATACTGTATTGGAACCATTTTTGTTTTGAGGACACGTTTTATCTGTGGGGGTATGATTTATCATTTGCCAATCTTTTTCCGTCATGTTAAGGCCAAGATCCAGTTCCCATCTTTGAATGCATTTTTGGAATATCATATTGTTGGATACCTTATTCTATTTATCATAAAATATTTTATCTTTTTCCTCAGACAGAATTTCCTCTTTTTCTTTTTCTTCTTAGCTTCCCCAAGCATACAGACCATACTTCCAGAATACATTGGTCCTATCATTAATAACTTTTTCCGAAATATAGAATTGGCAATTTTGCAGAAAATCAATTAATCAAAAGAGTGGTAAGTGTGGATGTGAATGGAACAAACGTAATATTAGGCACTCTTATACTCTTCATAAGGTTTTATTATAAAATTTGACTGATTTTGTCTGGTTTGTTTCCATATAAAACGAAAATACAGTGTTTCGAGTTCTTTTATACTTGGATAAGGTAGGGTTGAGAAAAGGTAGTTTAGTTTTTTAGAGCTGTAATTCTACCTGATGGGGTCAGGTCACGTGCTAAGAGTTCATGATGATCTTTATAGTTTAAAGTTTGTCTTTGTAATTTCTTTCTACAATTTCAGCCAAATTGTGTGTAAAAATAATACAGAGAAGAGTAAAACTTTCTTTGGACCAACCTGTATTCCAACAATGTTGCTGATGCTATCTTATAGGAGACATTTAAGGGAGAAATGGTTTCCAATCTTTTAAATGCTGCTTTGGTTTGTCTTTTTGTTTGGTTTGGT